TCAGTTGCAGTTATCTTTTTTTAAACTAGAGATTTTGCTTCATTAAGTAGTTCAAATAAACACTTGGTTAATGTATTGAACTGGTATATGTTCAGACTTTTCTAAGCCTTCGTAAATGTGACAGATATATACTGATTTTAAAATGTATTATACCATAGTAGGATATAAAGCCAAACTAGAACTACACATCAGATTGAACCAAGGATCTTCAGGTCTCACAACGTACACAATTTGTTGGAACTGTTTATCTCGAATCCAATAATTTGAACTTCTAACCAGTTCATTCTCGGTATAATACAAAATAAATGTTGTTTATGGTGATGATCTTACCTTTGATGTGGTCGACTACACTGGTCATGACTTTTCATTAAAACTTGAATAACTCCATGGGAGTCTGGTCAAACATTTAGGTTATCTACTTTAAAAGTTCAACTATACTGTTAAAAGCATTTACTTTTTTAGATTTAATTCAACGAAGTACTTGTATGCAAATAACTTTGTGTACTTGCGCTTTTACTAACCGTTATAAGCAGAAATGTTATAGTGGTTGGAATATTTTTCTTGTTTATTCATTAAAGAAACAGGTAAAGAATACATTGGAATTCGTAAACTAAACATTTTATGCAGTATGGAAGAGGTCGAGAATGTATACAATTGAAGATAAATAGAAGATGTACACAGTTGAGATAATCTTTTTGCGAGACTATAATTTATGGACGAACCAATCAGGCATAAGATAACAGGTCTTGGATTTTGGCACGAAATTCACTCATTCATTTATCGAAATAGAGTTTTGGCATTATAGTTGATGTCAGTTCGTGATGAAAACCCTAAATCTAATTTCTAACCCTAACCATCAACTTTGAATCATAATTGTAATTCCTCAGGCTGGTTTATAAGCCTCATTTTGTCCTGGTTATTTTAGGTGAACACTGTCAAGGTCACTTTAGTGTCGCTAAAATTTCGTCCATAAATTATAGTCTCACCCTCTCGATTATAAGAGGGATGTTTTTATGAAGTATTTAATCATTTACATAATGACGCGCATCCTAGAGTGGAGGTTCACTCCCGGATACGAGCCTAATACAGTCCTCCTCAAAAGCCATTACTTTTTGCACTTAGCTACTGAGTCTAGATAGCCCTTAGTTTGTGCAAACAACCTATACAAAAAAGAACATCTGAGACTATTGCTAAAAAAGTATACTGAAGCTGTGTATTATCACGTTACTTTTCGTTGAGATGTTACGACGTCAAGTAGTAGTAACATCAAATCACCGTGTACAGTTTTGCTTTTGGCTTATTTTACAGGATAATATGGCATAATGTCTTCATATTATATAATTGTTTACAATTGGTTAGTTAGATATTATCATTATTAAAAAAATTGAATAAATAAACCTGTGAAGATTATTTAACAGCTGCTGTGAAATTCTTTTTAAATGATTTAGAATAATCCATTTATATTAGTTGTGTGTTGTAATGCACGGTGTTCGAATTCTGATACTGATACACGGGTGCTACGCGCTAACCCCCTAACTGACTACTTAAGTACGAAAGTCTATTGGACTACTGAATAAAGTGCACAAATACTCATATACAAGCCACTCCAATCTGTGGGAAATTGATCCATTTCTTAGCCAATGCAATGCACTTGTCGTCTAGGTCACTTCTTATTTCCATCGACTGACCTTCTCATTAGGCTATTTCTGTTTGATTTCCCATATAAGTTTAAATTTTCCTATTCATATTAAGGACTGAAAGTGATCAATATCTTTTGGCATATGTGCATTCAGCGTAGATTGACTCGATGTTTCCATTAATTCATAGACATGATAAGCAGGGATGGGTGGTGGCTAGCAATGGGAAACAGGACGTGTGTGAGACTTGTTAGTTGTATGTACCTGGATCTTACAGATGATGTTCACTCTAGAACTCTAATCTAATACCATTGGCTTAAAACGCCATCGTGTTAGACACTTAGCTACTGAGTCCAGTCAGTTACTCACATGTGCAATGTGTATAAGATTTAATCGGATCTGAAATGGTTTGGATCATCCGATTGTTGATATGTTTAAATGAAATTTGATCAATCTTTAAAGGAATGCCACATTGTGACTCAGCAAATTCAATATTTATATCAAAATCAAAACATTTTAGATATTTGATTTTGTAAACCCTTCCATTGTATAATTAGAATTAATATCATCATTACTAATTAAGCAGTGATGATGTTCCCTCTTCACCATTAATTAGTTATGATATTTACCAACAATCAAGCTAGTTAATTAGAATTTATGTGGATTTTCGGTTTTGTTTTACTCTCTTAACATGTCACAATATATGTTCATAACATAATCTCCTAATGCACTTGGTATCGTTTACTTGAATCTTCCCATTGATGTTTAGCACTGCAATTGATTAGTCTCTCATTGGCATATGTGCATCCTGTGGGGATTGCCTCAATATAGCTTTAATTCACAAGCATTATAAACAGAGATGTATAGAAGCTATCAGCGAAATCCAGTTTGACGCGTGTTTCGTCCACTGCTAGCTACTATCCTCAAATACAACACCGAGAACACCAACCCAATTACACTTGATGGCGAAACTTTGGAAGATGTGGAATCCTTAACGTACCTAGGAAGCATCATCGATGAACAAGAAGGATCTGATGCAGATGTAAAGGCGAGGATTGGCAAAGTAAGGGCCGCATTCCTACAATTTAAGAAAATATGCAACTCAAAACAACTGTACGTTAACCAAGATCAAAGTCGCAATCTTCACTACGAAGGTTAAGGCAGTTCTACTGTACGGAGCTGATACCTAGAGAATTACTAAAACCATCATCAAGAAGGTACAATTATTTATAAATAGTTATCTGCTTAAGGTATTCAACATATATTGGCCGGATACAATGAGCAACAGCCTACTGTGGGAAAGAACAAACCAGTTTCCAGCTGAAGTGGAAATTAGGAAAAGATGTTGGAAGAGGATAGGAAATACATTACAGACGTCACCAAACTGCATCATCAGGCAAGCCCTAACTTGGAATCCTGAAGGGAAAAGGAAAAAAGGAAGGCAGAAGAACACACTACGTTGGAAATCGGAAGCAGAAATGAGTAGAATGAATAGCAACTGGAAACAACTGGAAAGGATTGCCCAGGACAGTGTTGGATGGATAATGCTGGTGGGCGGCCTATTCTCCTTCACGACGAGTTACAGGAGTAAGTAAGTAAGTACATAGATTCGCATAAGACGATTTAAAAAAATTCTTTATTTTCCTTCAAAAAGTAACTAATGGTAGATTTATAAAATTATTCATAACTTACGACCAACGTCCAGGTGAATTTCATGTGTTTGTTCATTTCTTTTAAAAAGTAGCCAACTAAGAAAAAAAACAAACAAAAAAGTCTCTGAAAACTGATAACTATAAAATTTTGTCTCTATGCACAAGAATATTACATGACTAGATTGCAAATAAGATAAATAGGCAAGTGAGGTAAATGTATGTAGCTTATATATATATATTGTTCTTGGTCTTACGCTAAACTTGTCCCTAATCCAGTGGAAGCCTATAATATATTAGATATTAAGATCCATACCACTTAGTGACACATTGTGTGTGTGTGGAAACTTGACTATATTCGGCTACAAGCTTATTTATAATTAAGTAAAACTTACGTATCTGCTGGGATTTCATAAACCACCTCTTTTTTTGTATCCCATATCAAGATTTTATTACAAAGTAAACCAGTACGTTCCTCTTGCGATCGTTCTTCAATATCAACTGGACCTAGAAAGCAGCTGGTCACCTCACCAAGATAAGCTGACTCAATCAGCGTATCAAGTACCTATTGACGGGAAAGAAGTAATACAAGGAATAAAATACATGTGTTACCCGTCAGTTAAATGTTTAAAGAAACGTCTGTCATCTAGCTATAAAAATAAAAGATAATTATCTCAAATTTTCTCACGTGCTTTTATAACTAAGTGGGTACTGATATTTAACATCGACATATTATATAATGCACAAAGTGTCATCTCAGGTATGAAGATAATAATGAGTGTATTTGGTTACTGAGTAACAATTCATATGTTTATATATTATATCAACGGGATTGGATTTCTTTAATTGTATATGGTGCAGATATATAGGCAGTGTTTTGGCTTACAGTTGACATTCTTATTAATATTATTATCACTGTCATTATTAGTAGTATATAAAGTTAATGAAACCAAAGAACGAAATGTGACATCTTGAATTCCATCTATGAATAAATAAAAGAGCCTTTGTTAATGAGCCCTACTTGTCATTCGATTTGATAAATTCTTATTTTTAATCTGAATAGTCTGCCAGTTGAACCTTCTATCCTATTTCCTATCCGCCTCTAATAACCCCCAGATCAAATTTACCCAGAAACTTCGACACAATAAAAAAGAAGTGAGCTGCTAAAAAAAAACGCTTTATTCTAAGTTTTAGGCATGTTCAGAAAATCGTGTATATTTATACTAAATAACATGAGTTAGATCGTCGAGAAAGTTCTTGAAATATAACAAATATGGCGGTACGAGTGTAATTATCCAATCAAATACATGAGATGTGGTCTGTCATTTTTCCAGATGTTTCGAAAAATGTTACAACTTGTGGCATGTGTGCCCTGTTAATGTATAACGTAATGATATGTTCAATTAGAGAGCAGTAAATTATCGACCGGACCAATGACGCGTAAAACACATGCGAGCAGTCTAAAGTCCTGATTAGTCTTGCTTTCCGCCTAGCCCAGTCAGTTAACCTCAGAGCACCAATCTCAACCTCTGCAATATGAATCATGTATTTCAAACATACTCGGTTTACATACCAATCAAACAGACCACAACGTACCATAAAAAAAAACTTTATTTACAAGGATATACTATAAGCACGATTTTCTATAGACGATAGAGAGGCTTGAACGACGATATAACATAAATATTTTTTGATTGAGATGATGAACCGATTGATGTTAGACCACCATTGAAAACCTGGAAACACTGAACGGCTGTTTCGTCCTACTGTGGGACTCCTCGGCAGTGCTCATTCACGATCCCACTCGCCGGATTCAAACTCAGGATCTTCGGTTTTGCACGCGAACACTTGACCTCTAGACCACTTAGCCGGCCATCATCCAACAGTGCTAATATCTAAACTCAACCAATCCATAAAATTGCTCGACCGTCTTCCATTGCACTGAAGTAGATACCTATCTCTACCCGACACAGATTAGCTCCACTGGTCACAGCTTCTCACTAGAACTCCAAGAATTCCTTCACAAATCTAATCACTAGTGAGCACATGATAATTATCAGTATGGAGTTGTAGAGATTATCAACTTTCTAATTGAGATCCTGAACCGATTAATGCTAAACCCCTATTGAAAACATGAAAGTAATAATTGAAAAGTACCACTGCTTCCAGATTTTCACTAATGATCTAGCTTAATTCAACTCATAAATTCAATTATTAAAAACAAAAACAAAAAAAAAGAAGAAAAGAAATCATTTCATTATAATTGTAAACTATTCACTAAGAAAAAAAAATAAAACAAACCTACCAGAATATTCCTTTTCTCATTAATACTTAACTGTTTATCAGTAATATAACCTATTAATCTACGACCACTATCACCATATTGTCCAATTAAACAAATATATGGTTCTAATGAAATATTTAATTGATCATTTCTTTGAATTAAATCATTATTGAATTCTAATTGTATACGATAATTTAATAGACATAATTTGAATTCTTCTCGTTCTTGTTCTTCTTGTTCGTCTCCTCTTTCTTGTTGTTGTTGTTGTTGTTGTTGTTGCTGTTGTTCTTCTTTTTCTTCCTTTTGTTGTTCTTCTTCTGATTGTTTCTTCATTATTATATTATTTGATAAATTTAAATATGTAACTTGTTCTCGAGATAAACAATAAAAATTATTTAATTTTCCAAATGGTCGACCAATAAATTCAAATATTAATTGTTTATTTATTTTAATATTTTCCAATATCAACTTTATATTTGTATAAAATTTGATAAAAAAAGAAAATAAAGCAAATAAGTTAATAGAATGGTAAACAATCAATATTCAGTATTGTGTAATTATTACCATTATTATTATTATTATTATTATTATTATTATTATTATTATTATTATTATTATGTAAGTTTGAAGGAACATAAACAGTGTTTGAAAAATGTTCCCAAATTCTGCGATAGCGTTAAATGCGTTAGAAACAGGACAAAAGATATATATATATATATATATATATATATATATATATATATATATATGAGCGAACAAGAACAGCTTGAACCGAAAGGATAGTATTCAACTAGTGACTACCTGGTAAATGTTGGTTGACAACTAATTGGATCCATTTCTTTATTTAACCTGTTTATTTGACATATATCGTTATTTTGACTGAAATTAATGTGAGTTATTTTAGTAATATAATTATGTATTTGATGATTATCATATAACATGCACATCGATGAGATATAGAAACAATTTTTCAACCTTGAACTTGCACTTTTATTTATATATTCCTTCATATAAAACATATTAACACCGAATATCAGTAATTAATAACTCAATCTTATAGATACATACATACACACATAGATACAATCCGTAATTTCAATGGTTGAACTTATGAATCAATTGAAGCTAGACCACTATGGAAAAGCTGGAAGCACTGGATGACCGTTTCATCCTCACTGAAGACAATGGTTTACGGTGGCGCAATTTCGTGGGTTGGTTGAACTTAGATAGTAGCACTGTTGCATGATGGCCGGTTAAGTGGTCTAGAGGTTAAGCGTTCGCGTGTAAAACCGAAGATCCTGGGTCCGAATTCGGCGAATGGGATCGTGGATGAGCACTGCTGAGGAGTTCCACAACAGGACGAAACAGCCGTTCAGTGTTTCTAGGTTTTCCATGGTGGTGGACTAAATGGGAGTTATAAAGCAATATGAAGAATTACAATTATGATTTACAGTTGATGGTTAGGGTTATGAATTAGATTTCGCGTTTTCATTACGATCTGACATTAGCTTAAATGCCAAAAACTGTATTTAGCCAAATGGATGAATGAATTTCGCTTCGAAATCCATGACCTATTATCTTATATCTGATTAGTTCTTCCATAAATTATAGTCTTGCCAAGAACATTTCCATTCCTATTCTATTGAGAGATAATCAGATGTTTTACAAAATAAACAGTAACCTAAACTCAACTGAACATGTCATTTACAATGTAAGACATCTAAGTATCATATAGCTTTGTAATTTTTTGATGTAATCAGTTCATACGGTCTAGTCAACTAACATACAATAGAAAGTGTAGTAATGATTTTTTGTACGGAATAATTTCATGCATAGATTCTTTTGTTTCCAAAGTTTCATCAAAGTTCGAATATTTTGTAGTATAGCTTCCTTACCACATCCTGAATTTGTATATGTTTAAATCGATTATGCTCTTTGATTAGCTTACTTAACTAATAAACGGTTGCATTTTGGTCAACAATGATTTGATGATCTTTCTATGTATCTAATCCCCATACTTGTATGAATATGTAGAGTTGATCACATGTTACAGCCCAAGAATATACTTCTCTTATTTGCTTAAAACCTTTGATGATCGATTTGTGTGCTTATATATATATATATATATATATATATATATATATATGCTCGTTGAATTCTGTTAATATTTTTATACTCGCTATCTGGTTTTCTCGTTAGCTGACTTATTCGTCAACTCATCTGCCGTATTGTACTGTGTTGAAATAAACTGTTACAACAACTTCGTATAGCCTTCTGAAAATTATAGGATCATGGCAAATTATGAAAATAACTTTGATCAGTTCGTGATTTCAGTGGTTTTCCTTATTATTTCTTTAACTATAATTTGGTAAATCGTTAACTTCAGCACTGGATTGATCAAACTTCCATATAATAATCATCATTTGAAGCCTAGTGTTTGTATCCGTTAGGTCCCGATAAGCATAATGAATGGTTACTTTGGGATCCATCTATGGATCAATACTATGCGTATATTTTTATCGTATATTTGTTAAATAACTAAACTATTCATATTCATATCCCTCTTATTATAAGCTTTATTTTGACCTATGAACCATTATTATACGTTTTACCATTCTTGAATTATGCCATGTCCATTAGTCTTTACCTGCCACATTCACAGACACATTAGGCCAAATCATGTACAAATGTTATTTTGTATTTTATGGTAGGTTGTGGTCTGTTTGATTGGTATATAAACCGAGTATGTTTGAAATAGATGATTCATATTGCAGAGTCTGAGATTGGTGTTCTGGACTTAACTGGCTGGTCTAGGTGGAAAGCAAAACCAATCAGGACTGTAGACTGCTCCTACGTGTTTATGCATCATTGATCTGGTTGATAAGTCACTGCTCCCTAATTGGTGGTATCGTTATGTTTACAATTAACAGGGCACTCAACCCACAAGTTATAACAGTATCCGGTTACCGAATTACATTAATCAATATATAAATATAAATATAAGCAAAATTGTAATGTTATTTTCATCATTAATACTCACCTTGTCAACTTCCCATTCACTATCATTATCTGGATTTATTTGATTCACTTCTAGACGTATCTTATAAATTGAACCGATATTTTCCAGTATAATCTATTCAAAGAAATATATGGTATGGTGTTGTAAGTTTTGGTTATAAAAGAAGTAATTGATAGAATTGTAGATGATTTCTTTTTAATATAAAACTTTAATTGAATACATCATTCAAATTAGTTTTATAATAAACAGACTTTATTGCAGTTAGTAGATAATCAAAAGTAATTTTTTCTTCAATACTCTTCATCAGTTTACCGGTCGACTACATTCAATTGAATATTTAGTCAAAAGTATAACAAAATAACTAATCGTTTAAGAATAGACTCTCAGATTATAAGTTTATTGAAACCTAGCAATCAATCATTATTGTTGTTAAAATGATAGATTTAACCAATTCATGAAATAATCATTTATTACTTACCATGAGAAATCCTCCTCGAGACCCTCTGGGGCTACTGCCGGTCCCAAGCCCGGATAAAGGAGGAGGGTTGGGGATGGAGTTATCGACCACATCCCGTAGAAAACTAACTCGCTGAAAATACGCTAACCAAAAAAGTTATTCAAACCATTTAAATTCTGCTCTGGAAATCAGAAGGTCTTCATTTAGAAGAGTTATGATGCCTCATGGTGAATTCCGAATACCTTCGGAAGTCACGAGGCTGATGCCCCTTTTGACAACCAGAGCAATCATTTATTTAGGTACATGGAATGCTCGTACAATGTGGGAGACCGGGAGAGTCTTTCAAATTGCTACAGAAATTGCTACTTACCATGAAATTATCAATTCTATTTGCTTGAAATAATCCTTTTTCATCATTTGATCTACCAATTAATATTGGACCTGAATTACCGTCTATGCCGTAGACAACTAAAATGATTTCACAGTTTTGTGCTGATTTCTCTGTATAAATAGATAATTTCCAGCTGGAATCTAGGAGTTAAAAACAAACAAACAAAGTGAAATAAATGCTCTGTTGATATAAAATAAAAGTTGAATAAGACAGGTGAGTTGTAGCTCGCAGTGAAACCGAGGATAGAAATTCTGTTTTTTTGGGGGGGATTTATCAGTTGAATGTCCTAAGATCGTAGTGTTAGTTTTCACATTGAGACTCGAGTCCGGTACCTTTTGCTTTAAACGGTCAACATGTTACTCAGTAAGAGTTCGAAATGGTTACTAACTTGTGCAACGAGATTATTCAAAGATTTAAAAAATGTTATTATAAGAACCGAATAGAAATTATCATGCTAAAAGTTGTTGAGCATGAAATACGGTAAGACTATAATGTATGAACGACTTTTGAACGACACTAAAGTGATCTTTAGAATGTCCACCCAATAACTGGTACTAATTGGGAGTTATAAAGCAATATGAGGAATTACAATTGTGATTTACAGTTGATGGTTAGGGTTCTGAATTAGATTTACGGTTTTCATCACGATCTGACATTAGCTTAAATGCCAAAAACTGTATTTAGCCAAATGGATGACTGAACTTCTCTTTGAAATCCATGACCTATTATGTTATATCTGATTAGTTCTTCCATAAATTATAGTCTCGCCTCAAATAAACTTATTCAATTAAAAAAGGAAATAAGACTCCAGTAAACTCAAGCAAACTACATCATAACTTGTTAGTCAGAAATTCCGTAATTAGACCTCTAGCAGAAATACCAATCGAACAAATATGGAACCGTATGATTCATTTAAAAAGTTTAATGCTACGAAGCAAATGCTAGGTTCCAGTGGATTTTTTTTGAGTCAATACTGTCATCGTGTTTTATCTTAACAGTAAATGAAAAATTTCTTCTATAGTCTTACTGTATGACTTATTTGGTGTGTCATATATACTCGAAGATAAACAAATTTACTCACATCATGAATAATTACTTTGACATGGTGAATCTGTTTGCTTATCATCATCCGTTAGTTTGATTATACTGGCTGGGACATTTATTAATTAAGGATTCGTCATGACAGAAATCTTACTTGAAAAGCAGTAAAACTGAATAAAAAAAACGTTTCGGATTTTGCGAAGGATATTATTCTACACTATCATTACTATGATGTCTATTTTTATATTGCATGAATGATATAATTTGTGAAGATGTTGAAATGTAACTATTTATGGAAGGAATACACATTTGCCAAGTAACACTATGTGAATTAGCAAATAAGTATATTTATGAATAATAGTTATGCACCCAGATCATTGCTCAGAAAAAGCTCAGAGGGGCCATGAAAACACTGGGAAACATTTTATCGAATCAGTATTGAATGGAAGTTTCTAAGAAACATATAGAAAGTGAGGAGACACGTGTTACACTATAGATTGGATGAGTACCTATCCTGCTACTATGTTTAGTAGGATTCCAATAGTTTATGGAAGCCCGACGCTGTAAATACCTTAATTTTTTTGAACATAAACTAACCTTGGAGTAAAGCGTTTTTTCCACATTTCGCACTTTTTCTCTCGTGTTCAAGTTGTTGTGTAGATTTAGTCTAGGATTACTAAAAGAGCTTAGAAAGCTGATTCAAGCGTTCAGTCATAAGATTTATCAAGATTAGTTCGTAATTAACGCGTAAAAATAGAGTACATCAGAAACCCGAGTTAAATTAAGTTAACTTATTGTGTTATGTTTTAATTTTGAGTACAAATAATAGTACCTTTTTATTATCGGAAGGAGTAATGGAATAAGCTAATATAATGACCTGTTTAATATCTGACTAGTTACTTGGTAATTCGGATTCATGATGTAAATATCGAAGTTGTTATATCCTAACGAAGTATAAATGAATGGTAACTTTTAGGAATTATTATTAAAATGTTATTATACATATATATTCTTTTTGTATAACAATTAAGTAACTGAATTATAAATATTTATATTTCCCTTATTATAAAGTTTATTTCAACCTGTCGACTAGTATTATATGATTTACTATTCTTAAGTTATACCCAGTTAATCAACACAGTCTCTTACAATCACAGCGACATTTTGGCCTGATCTTATACAATTGTTATTTTTTAATTTATGGTATGATGAGGTCTGGTTTGCTTGTATATAAACCAAGCATATCCGAAATGTAGAATTCATACAATGGAAGTTGAGATTGTGTTCTGGACTTAAATGGTTAGGTTTAAGCAAGAAGAACCAAAAAGAACTTAAAATTGAATTAAAGTTTCTCGTACTGGTGAACGTTTCATTGATTTGGCACAGTGCCAAGACCATATAAATTAGTGTTCTAATTGGCGAATTAATCATGTGGTAATTAATAGGGCATAAGAATATAACAGAAATTAGATAGTTTGCTTACTCACCAAATAGTTCATAAGTAATCTATTTTGTATTAAGTAAAGTTTACTACTACTTACTTACTTAAACACATAGATATTGGTACAAGGAGGCACCAAATACATATGCACCACATAAATCTCATTTGATTTGTGTGAGGGCTGTGATACTGCCCGGGTGCCCAAACCGAAGCAGGATTAAGTAAAGTAACAAGAAGTTAACTATCATCTAATTATGTTTTTGGATCATTTTAATGATATTTAAGCGTAACACATAACTTTACTGAGGTGAACTCTAGAAATCCTTAACATTATTATTTGCTTCTGTAACTTAATTTATATTAAAATAAGAAGAAAGGAAAGAGTAATGAATTTTCTTATCTTACCTTTCATAGATTGATTTTCATTTAAATTATATAAAGTTTGTGTCTTATTCAAATCATTTCCATTAGAGTTTATATCATCAACAAATATACTTTTGGTTGTATCCATATCGGTTTCATGATGAGATTGTATTAATTCTAACATCTGTTGTTGTTGTTGTTGTTTTGTTGATGCAATCTTAGATTCATTTTGTAGATTTGCTTTATTCTTTTCATCTTCTTCATTATCATTATTTAATAATGAATTTGTAATTAAATTGTTTGAAATGATTGATTGAGGATGTAATTTAACTGTTCTATTTGTTAAACATGAACTATTCAATTGAATCTGTGGACTAGAGAAACCATCTACAAAATCAATAATAGAACATATATTAAGATAGATTAATTTACTCAGTTATTATAATAATCATTTGAATAGCCATTTATACTCATTGATTATGTAATTAAAGTCAATGTCATATCTCAATATTGTTATAACTAAGAGAGAGAGAGAGAATTATTGATCGGACCAAAGACGCGTAAAACACGTAAGAACAGCCAAGAGTTCTGATTGGCCCTGCTTCCCTGTCTAGCCCAGCCAGTTGAGTCTAGAACGCAAGTCTCAGCCTCTGTGATATGAATCATTATAATTCAAACATACTCTGTTTATATACTACATCGTACCATAAAATAGAAAGTAACATTTGTACAAGATTTGATCTCCAGGGAATGACACAAATAAATATTGACCAACGGGGAAATGACACCATTTCTCATTCAGGATTAGCATTAGATAATTTCTGGGGTATTTTTCTGAAAACCCCAACAAATATAACAGAAAATACGTTGTTAATCCAATGGATCAGTTGTAATATTTCTAATTGTGATATTACATGAATTACTTCTTCGAGGTCATAGATATAAACTACTGATAAATTTATTGTAACATAAATTTATTTTCAGAACTTCATATTATTAGATTCTTTTCACCTTAAATATTCATTTCTAGATAAGCGAAATCGAGAACGTTTCTCAAAAAGCATTCAGCAGTGCTATCGCAAGACATCCCTTGACACAGTACACGAAGTCGATATACTGAAGTCCTTCAAAGTGATCATATTCAAACCTTTTGAAATTTGCCGAAGCAATATCAATCAAACGTTTAAAACCAGATCTTTGTATACAAGAAGAAACAGTAATAATTCTTTTTTTGCCCTAGTAACATTACCCCATATACTTATTTATTAGGTCATTCACTATTCCAACTTTTAAAATTACATCATTCATAACTGACCTTTTTCAATTCATATCTCTCTTTATTACCATTAATCTATTTTCAATTATTTCATTACATAATTATCTAATATGTTTTAATTCCATGAGTTTTAATCACTATTTCAATGTTCTGGAACCTTCCCTTCCAAACTCTATATATTCGAAACAAAAAATTTTATGACCTCATTAACTCTAACGGAATCTTTACTACATCATGATACACATATATTCATCTTTCATCACCCTCTGATGTATAAGAGTATGTCAATAGCTGTAATAACGTTAAATTTCAAATATTTTAGGTTGTAAGCAGCTGATAATACGATAATGTTTGAAGTGAACAAACATTAAATTCAAGTCTTAAAATGAATATGAACTATGAGATGTTGATACATCCAGCTGATGAGTTTATGATAAAAAAAAATAAATAGAGTGAATTACTCTATTCGTCTCATGTATTCAAGTAGTTATTTTCAATAAGGAAAAGATAGTGTAGATACGAAGCTTGTAATAATTGTTATATCCTAGTGAAGATTAAGTGATGGGTACCTTCTGAGAACTATTAATGAACTAATATTATATATATATATATATATATATATATATATATATATATATTTATTTATTTATTCAGTAACTAGATTGTGTATATTTATATTTCTTTTGTTACAAACTTTCGTATAATGTATAGATCATTATGATACGATTTACTGTCCTTAATTTATTCTCAGTTTATTGATTACAATCCCCCATGCTCACAGCCACTGTTTGGCTTGATTTTATACAAATGTTATTTCCTATTTTATGATGTGAGGTGATCTGTTTGGCTGATTTATAAACCATGTATGTTTGAGATAAATGATTCGCATAATGGAAGCTGGTATTGGTGTTCTGGACTCAATTGAATAGGTTAGGCGAACAAAGAATTAATAAGGACGCTAGACTGTTCATATCAGTTGAATGTTATTGGTTTAGCACAGTACAAGATTGAATAAGTCGTATTTCAATTGACGAATAAGTCACGTGATAACTAGCCGTAGTTTAAAGTCACAACAATAATACATTTACATACATTTGACAACTTCTGGATAAAAACGTGAATTTTCTTCCATTGTATCTTTGTCATATAAAGTGATTGTTCCATCTTCATTCATTCCAATAATTTTTTTAATGTTCACAAGAGGTGATAATTGAAGAAAACCTTTATAACGAACACGATTAATTTGAAAGTAACAATCCATTCCACCACCACCCTGTGAATTAATTAAAAAAAAAACAACAGAAATTAATATTCATTTTTTATTGTTTGTTTGAATCTTCCCATTGATGTTTAGGACTGAAAGTGATCATTATCTTATTGGCATCTGTACATCCTGTACGATATTACTTTAAGCCACAAGTATCATAAGCAAAGATGGATGGTTGCTAGTAGTGGAATCCTATTTAGAACTCGTCAGATGGATGTACCTGCATCTCAGAGTTGATGTTCACTCTGGGACTCGAAACCAGTAACGTTTGTCTCATTAATTAGTTTAGTAAGGAAATTATATGAAATTTTATATAATAAATGAAAATTATTCACTATTAGTAATCTCTTTCTAAGGCTCATACTAATTTATTCATGTATGGATATACATTAATAAATTCTATGTTTAAAGATACTTTCTTCTGTGTATTAACTTTCATTGTGAGCCAAATATCAGTCTGTTAGAATATATACCAAAGTTCTACTTGATTTGCATCATGAGGCATGCCCTAACTTGGAATCCTGAAGCGAAATAGAAAAGAGAAAGACTAAGGAACACATTGCGTCGGGAAATGGAAGCAGATATGTAAAGGATGAATAGCAACTGAAAGCAACTGGAAACAACTGCCCCGGACGGAGTTGGATAGAGAATACTGATAGGTGGCCTATGGTTCTCAACGAGGGGTAACAGATGTATGTAATTAAATAAGTTCATTAATTGTAAAATAAGTGTAATTTACATTTTAAGGGATAAATACGAGTTTAGTTACTCAGTTATTTCCTTTTACTAATCAGTTTAGAAAATAATTCAAGTAAATATGTTACAGAACATTTGAACCACTGTGCTTCTGTGGAGATGACAAGATAGTCAGAACGACCTTGTAAATCTCCTGTTGCTTTCTTGAACAATTTCCATTATGACTAAGTGTAGAAATAAACAAGCCTACCAAAAAGAACCCAATATCATTTCATTTAGTAGACGTATAATGCAAAATCTAGACGTGTTTACCATTTATTAATATATCTAAAGTTTAAATGAAGCCCTCATGGTTTAAGCATCTCGGTGTATTCAACATAGCTGACATAATAGCCTATGAAATTTCCCGACTTAATTTATTGTATACAAAAATCCTCTATTCAGTCTCTTTCCCTTCCATAGCTTTTACCTACCATTAGCTTACAATAACTGTGACTAATAACTTTAATATTCTCTCACTTTTTGATTATCATTACCATCATTCACATTTTGTACATTATTCACTTATAAGCAAAGATAGATAGTGGCTAGCTGTGGAATTCGGAACTCGTCAGCTGGATGTACCTGCATCTCAGAGTTGATGTCCACCCCGGGACTCGAACTCAGTACCGTTTGCTTCAAATGCCATCGAGTTATCCACGTAGCAACTGAGTCCTGAAAGCCACTTGCTTGTGCAATGGGGTGAATTGAAATTCACTTGATATTGTTTTACTGATCAATTTCACTCCTAACCATCAATAAGAAGATTCAAGTAAAATAATATCAAGTGAATTATTCACTTAGTTTACTAATAATTCATCCATTTTATCAATCCTTTATGCCATATGTATACATATACAAATTTGTAACATACTGTATGAACAAACATACTGCTTTATAGAGCTTGATAAAAACTACTGAAAATACTTATTTGCATAAACTATGTTCTTATCTTATCATAATCAAAATCAGTTCTGTCTTTAGTATCAAAAATGGGAGAATACAAAACTTTCATTGAATGGTTAGAAAATAGGTTTGTTAATAGACTGACATTAACAGGAATGTGATTTACAGTTAAAAAGGATAGAAATCTGTTTTGTTCTAATATTGAAACTTATCAAGGAAATCTTCATACTTACACGAAATGAAATTTAGATAGTTTGGGTCTCATAGAGAATGTGACAAACAAGATCCTAATCTAGGACATCACTATCTTTTATAAATTATGTTAATAAGGTGTGAGGACAGTTAACGGATGAACTCGAGGAAGCTCTAAGAAGCTCAGAAAGAGCCGAAGATATTCCATCCAATCATTTGAAAGAATATTCCAGAATCCTTAGGTGTAGCTTCTCTATTAAACAAATGCTAATATCCCCCTGTATGTGGGTTGGATGATTATAATGTTGATTTCGTTCTTACTAAAAACTATAAATATTTTCTGGTTAGCGTTTTTTTAGCAAGTTAGTTTTCTACGGGATGGGGTCGCTAACCATATACCTAAGCCTCCTCCTTTACCCTGGCTTGGGACCGGCAGCAACTCTAGAAGAGCTACAGGCCGAATCCTGAAGAGAAGCGGAAAATAGGAAGGTCAAATAACATATTACGTCTGGAAATAGAATCAGATATAAAAAGGATGAATAACAACTGGAAAGAGCTGGAAAGGAGTACCCAGGACAGGGTTGGATGGAGAATAATTGTGAGCGGCCTATGCTCCTTCACGAGGAGTAAGAGGCGTAAGTAAGTAAGTAAGTAAGTAAAAACTAACAATAAATGACAGTTCTGTATCATAAATGACATTGTTTGGAATAGTATTCCTTTCATTTGCCTTCTGTCTTTTCATTTGCAACTTGAAAAAGATTCTAGGGTTCGAATGCTCAAGTTATACATGATATATTAAGAATCTAAGCTTTAGAAATAATATAAAGTTACTTCATAAAATGAAAATAAAATAACTAACCATAACATCTACATTATTTGATGTAACACGTAAAAAATTTCCTGGCCATGCAACTGATTCAAATCGTCTAATATTTTTGTCTACTTTATGAACTCTCCAATATGCTTCAGTAGTACGTTCACCTGTAGCACGTAAATCAAATTTACAACTATTGATTTTAACTTCTGAATTGTTTTGATTAGTTTCATGAATGATTATAGGGATTAATGTTTGCTGGATTTCTGTACATAACCATAAGATTGTTTGATCTCTTAGACAACCCTGTTTTGTTTTTATATAGAGAGAATAATGAATTTATATTATTAAAATATAGAAAGATAATTATTAACATAAGAAATCAGAATTCACAACTCATAGAATTAAATTAATCTGAAGTTTAATAATTGAATTTGTGAGTAAAATTGAAGGTAGACCATCATAAAAAACCTGGAAGCACTGAATGATCGTTTCATCTTAGTATAGGATTTTTCAGCAGAGGGCGTCTACGATCCTGTTCCACGAGATTCGAACCCAGGACTTATCAATCTCACACGTGAACATTTAACCTATAGACCATTGAGCCGGCCGTTATCCAACGGTGTTGACGTCTAACTTCAATCAACCTAAAGTTTCTCTTTAACTATCAAAAGCATATAAAAAAATTTCAGACCAAAGGTTTAAGCTAAATGCTGATTGTCACGAAATCTAGGTCTAAGGGTTTTTTTTGAACGATTTTTTTTTCAACTGCCTAATATAAAGCCAATTTTCTACAGTAACTAATGTCAATTGGCGAATCATAGGTATATGAGGAGAAAAAAAAGGTTTTACAGAATATCACGAATTTGTTGTATTTGGTCATATTGATTATAAGATGGGATTAGTTTTTTCTGAAATCACTTAGTCAAACTTCATGAATTCATGAAGAATAAGAAACTTCAGATTAAAGAAGTTGTCATAAGTATTGGGAAATTTTAACATTTGGTGGATGATGGATACATAGGAAACATATTGAAGTAATAATCAATCAGTAATTATAATATCCTTTGTTATTAAGATCGGGTTATTTGTTAAGGATTGAAAGAAGTGTCGCATAAGATTTTAAGCTAGAGTAAACCTCTATGTTATTAGCATGATCGTTTATCGATTTATTTGCATTGAGTGTATGTTGATCAGGTCTTGATTTTACTATTATCATTAGATCTTGTGCTCATATACTACATTATTCTTGCTTAATAATGCAAGAGAAACTAAGGGCAGTATATATAGATTAAGGTAATAATATTGTAGGAGCCTTACGAAAACCCATGTACATTTCTGTCATACCTGCTATAAGCACTAATTATTTTTATCGAAATATATCAGCCATAGTTCCCAAAGTTTCAATGAAATGCTGCGATCAATTGAGTTCAATCATGTTGTGAACGAAACAAAATATAAATGATAGTTGAGCAAAATGGTCAGTTGACAGAAGTTAGAAATGTAGGAAACTGTAAACCATCCAATTGGTCTAGAGGTTCTACACTCTTTGTGATATTTGAAGGTTTTTTATTTGACCTCTGATGGGGTCATGGATGTGTATTCTTAAGAATTTATATTCTAAGATGAAACGACTTCCAGATTTTCAGTGGTTACTTAACCAAAGTCAGTCAGTGTTGTAAAAATTCAAAGCAAACAATCTCCAAGATACTCCATAATTATATATTATGTTTGTTCAACATTGATGACTTGAAATTTACTATTGAATTAATAAACTATTTCACATTCAATCAATTTTCAATATATCGTACTGAATTACATTACACATATTAATGTCCAGCGCTTTAACCTGGTTGGTAGATACGAAAGATCCACTTAGGGGAGTTAGAGAACCCTTATTCTAAACCAATGGTGCACATGGACTCCAGGATACTGAGGAAACAAATGACGTACGGACGTTCTGGGTGTGGCCCCCAAGAAAACCACCTGCTTCGGTCTGGGCAACCGGGCATTATCACAGCTCATACACAAATTAAATGACCTGTGTGGCGCATATGTATTCGGTGCCTCTTTGTATCGATATTTATGTGTTCAAATAAATAAATAAATTGACGCAAAACATATCATAAGCCATAATGGTATAAATAGATGTACTGGTAAAATGAAAAAAAACTAACACTTACTTTTACATATGGTAGAAATAATTTCCCAGGAATTGTTATAGGACCTGTTGCTCCACTGACAACACGACCATCTGGTCCAACGTAAACATGGACCTTTCTAGACTGCAGTGAAGTTTTTTTGTTTATTTCAAGTGCAATAAGACGTTCTGACTGAGGGCGTATTTTAAAGTTGAAACATTGTGAATCTAAATCAGAATTAACTAATAAAATGAAATAAAGGATTTAGAAGTTTAATTGTTTGAATGTAATTACTTAATAATATCATTTTGCGGAGGAAATTATGGTGTTACTAAGTGTAGAAAACACTCACCCTATTCATTATAAGCAGAGATGAATGGAAGCTGGCAGTGGAATTCAAGATGAGCGTTTCGTCTTATTCAAGATTCGTCAGCTTGATATGCCTGCATCCTAGAGTTGATGTTTACTCTGGAACACTTGAGCGTACAATATTATGGAGTTCCAAACTAAAATAAAATTGTTGTCAATTCCTATTGGTTTTAAATGGTCATATTTATGTCACTTGAAGTAATAATATCAGTGAAGAATTTGTATTCTACAACCAACTTAACTCCAATATTATATCTTTATTGTTTGCAGAATCAGACGTCAATGAAGCATGGATATTTATGATATATCACAAAGTTTATTTACTTTGATTACAGCTTAAGATTACAGTCTACTATGCCTTTTATATTTTTTAGTGCTAACATTCAAACTAACCCCCGAAATGCCCTGATACGGCCAAGCGTGAGGAGAACCTGTTCTCCCTCTGGAAACGCTCTCAATGGCCTTGCATATACAGTCACTGACAAAGAATTCTTACTCACTGCCTTCTCTCTACGAGGTTATTATTTACAAAATTGAGAGGACGCAAAGCGAATGCCCGGCGTTTTAACCGGGTTGGTGGATATGGAGGGTCCACCTAGGGAAGTTGGAAAACCCTGATTCTAAACTAATGGTGCATATGCTCCCCAGGATCCTGATGAAACAAATGGCGTGTGAACCTATTGTTGATCACTGGCTACCATGTGACTGCATCTTTTTACATTGCTTTACTGTCTTGTGGATTAGACCTCTCGGTCAAAGGCTCATGGAATTGCCTCCTAAGAAAAACAACTGCTTAGGTTTGGGCATTCGGGCAGCATCCCAGCCCACACATAAATCAAATGATAATTAATACTGGAAGAATTGCTCTTGATTCAACGCTCATTCATGAAAACCATATTTGCAACCATTTAATAACATTCGTTATTTCTTTTATACTACATCACTTATGTACCTTCTTTTATTCTCATTTTGTGAAATTTATTTCTCAACTTGTACAACACCCCACCTGTAGTGAAAAACCTGTTCTATCTAACTGTTCTCAAGTCGCTGACCAGTCAAAAGTTGAATGCTACCACCGACTACGACTACTGAAATAATCTTTCTGAAACCACGTATACCATTCAAACTGGCTTCCTTCAACGTTTGCACACTAATGCGAATTAGATAACAGAACGAGTTAGGTATTTCTTTACAAAGTCTCAATATTGATGTCTGTTATCTGTCCGAGACCCGTATTCAAGATTAGTGAAGCACTAAAAATTCGCTCTCTATCTATCGCTTCGAGAAGCTTATTTGACGTGCATTTATCTGGGGACTCCGTGACATCTTTGTCTGATTTTACTGACGTAAGCGTCGCATTAAGCCCTTAAACTAAGGCAACACTGACCTATTGGATGCCCATTAACAGTCGGTTATGTGTTGTTAGATTAGAAAGTACCATCAAAGTAAGAAGAAATTGGTGTAAGAGACGATATCTTTTCGTTATCTCTGCTTATGTTCCGACAAATTGTAGCCCGGATGCAATCAGGGATGAGTTTTACCACCAGTTAACTGTTCTTCTACAGAAAGTGCGTCCGAAATATATTGTGGTACTAACCGGAAACTTGAATGCTCAGGTCGGGCGTCTAGACACAGAAGAGAGTCGTTTAGGTGGCCAATGGGGACTTGTTGGTCAGATAACGGTAACCGTCTACCGCAACTATACGCAGACTATAACCTGTTTCTGGCTAGCACTTACTACCGGCACAGTCATAGTGTTATCATCACCTAGATATTATACCAATAATTAATAACTGACTTATATCTGTTAATGATGTTTAATTAAATTTCTGATGGCTTTAAAATTGAGCTGAGAATAAAATCTATTTACCTGTAATAAAAAGTTGATATTTATTTAATATAATTAATTTAAATAAATTAAAGAATAATAAAGTTATCAGTTTGGGAATTTGTGAAGATTGTTGTATTTTCACAGTTGAATTCACGAGTTGATCTAAGCTAGACCACCATTGAAAACCTGGGAGCACTGGATGGCCGTTTCGTCCTAGTATGGGACATCTTGGATGTGAGACAGTTACCTACCGAAAAAAATCGATGAAAGGTTTCGCAAGATCATAGATTGATTGAAGTTAAACATTACCACCATTGGATATCGGGTCAGTGGTCTAAAGATTAAACGTTTGCGCGTGGAATCCGGAGTTCTGTGTTCGATTTCCGTGTGTGGGATCGTGGATTCGCACTATTGAGGAGTCTCATACTGAGACAAAATGACCGTCCAGTGTTTCCAGGTTTCCAATGATGGTCTAGTTTAGATCAACTTATGAATTCAACTGTTCAAATACTGAAATATTGATAAGGTTCCTTTTTCAAATAAATCAACTAAAAAATAGCTAACTGAGGATTATAAAATCTTTTATTCATCAACAGTAACAGTTGTGGATAATAAGTAATCAATATCTCTGAATGATATTGAAATGGTTATTGTGACGAATTTGAATACGGAATTTTGTCAACTTATATTCCTTATTACTTGTTTAGATTGATATCAAGTTTATGCATTACCGATTTTAGAATATTGAATACTTTGTTCATACTGAGTTATCTACTCATATTTCTACCTTATCCTATAGAAATGCTTATCTTTTATTAAATTCTAAGAACCTATTCACTTGAAGATCAGACATAATCTAATAGAAATTTAAACATTACAACAAGTTGATCTATAACCAAAACTATCTTTAAAGTTCATTTGAACTTGAGTGAAAGGAGTCATTATAATATCCAAATTATGAATTATCTTCTATTGAATAAAGGTAATGAAAAATCAATTCAAGTTTTGTGATATGTTATATTACCTCTTATCAACAAAACTTTGATCAATTCATTCTAATTATATCATATAGAAGAAAGACATTGATATATTAACAAATCATAAACTTAAACAAAGTAGTAAATCAATGTTTTTTTTTTTTTATTAACCAATCAGATATAAGATAACAGGTCTTGGATTTTGACGCGAAATTCAATCAACCATTTTGCTTAATAGAGTTTTAGCATTATAGCTGATGTCAGTTTGTGATGAAAATTCTAAATCTAATTCTTAACCCTAACCATCAACTCCAAATCACAATTCTATTTCTTCAAACTGATTTATAACCCTCATTTGATCCTAGTTATTAATTGAATACTCTCAAGATCACTTTAGTGTCGGTCAAATGTCGTCTAAAAATGATAATCTCATCATTTATTGATTATAATATATTCCTAAAACTGATTATTTTGTTTAAACATTAAAGAGGAAATATATATTTTCTTAAAAAAGATTGGATCAGATTGCTAGCTGAAACTTTGAATTTACTTCATAATTCATTCACTGATATTTTACAAATACATTCTTCTTCTTTAATATCTCACATTAACTAGGCGTTCAAATACTTTGAAAGTATTCAAAAGTTCTTATTGATTATTGTTTATTTTGTCTATAGATAAACTTCATCAGTACACAAGGGATAAAGAAAAATGGTGTTATACAACTTACTTTTCATATTTAAACCAGCTATTTCATCTAAACACAATGAAAGCCATGGATATTGTACACTTGAAAATGAACGAATACATTTTATAGTTTTATTATGATTATTCTTGTTATTAGTTGATTTCAAATGATTACAATATTCTATATTTTGATTAAATATAGATTGTTTATAATTATCTAATAAATCTCTTGAACCAAATTGTTGATGTGATAGTTTTGAATGTCTTGAATTAGTTAATCCATTAGAGACATTAAATACTATGATTGTGAAAAAGAAATATTTAAAGAGAGAATATCATTAATTATATGATCATAATATTATTGTTTATTAATAAGTGAGAAATGAAATGGGATTGTAGAGGTTTACAGTTGTACATTTTGTAGAAGTTCACAATTATATATATATCAGAAGGGGGTTTCGTAGAGACTTTAGTAATTTCAATGGTTAAGATCATGAGTCAGTTGAAGCTAGACAATCATGGAAAATCTGGAAGCACTGGATCGCCGTTTCGTCCTATTGTGGGACTTCTCATCAGCGTGCATCCACGATACCGCCTCGCGGGATTCGAAACCAGGACCTATCAGTCTCACGCTTAACCTCTAGACCACTGAGCCGGCCGGGATTCAACGGTGCTATATATTCGTTTTTGAAGATTGCTCACTCAGTGATTATCTAGTCAGATTACCAAGAAATATTAGACCATGATTTATGGGTTATAGTGGACAACTATGATGCAGCTCGATGATCTAAACTTCTCAGATGATCTGGCTCTTCTATCGCAAACGCAACAACAAATGCAGAAGACGATCAGTGTAGCAACAACCTCAGAAGTACTAGGTCTCAATATACACAGAGGGAAAAGCATGATTCTCCGATACAACACAGCATGCACCAATCGAGTCACACTTGATGGAGAAGATTTAGAAGATATAAAAACCTTTACATATCTGGGCATCATTGATGAACACGATGTATATGATGTCGCCGCGGATCGGCAAAGCAAGAGCAGCATATCTACAATTGAAGAACATCTGGAACTCAAAACAAATATCTGTCAACCAACACCAAAATCAGAATTTTCAATATATACGTCAAGATAGTTCTACTGTATGAGGCAGAAACTTGGAGAACTACGAAAGCCATCGTCCAGAAGATACAAATGTTTATTAACAGCTGTCTACGTAAAATATTTTGGATCTATGGGCCAGACACTATCAGCAACAACCTACTATGGGAGAGAACAAACCAGATCCCAGTGGAGGAAGAAATCAAGAAGAGTGGCTGGAAGTGGATAGGATACACAGTGAGGAAAGTACCCAATTGTGTCACAAGGCAAGTCCTTATATGGAGCAGCAAAGAACACATTACACCGAGAAATGGAGACAGACATGAGAAGAATGAATAAAAATTGGACAGAACTGGAAAGGTAGGCCCAGGGTAGAGCGGGTTAGAGAATGCTGGTCGGCGGCATATGCTCTACCGGGAGTCGCAGGCGTAAGTATGTAAATAAGTATGATTCAAGAGTTACAGTGATTTTCAGTAAGTTTGTTTTATTTAATAAACAACCATCACGATGTAAGAGTAAGATGATTTTAACAGAACTATTAAGAGTTATCATGGGAGGTAATATCTTAGATCCTTGCAAATAGTCAAGTGCAATCACTTTGTTATGTATGTCACATAGTAAACCAAGAATTGTATTGAAGTCTTAGTGGATCATCAGGTCAGTTAATCATTCATAAGTATGATAATATGGAATGATATTTTCAAACTATGCTTCCTATAATCATTCATGTTATATAGTTTATCATCATGCATACTGATAGAAAACTCTAGTTAATCGGTATGTACACAATGATCTAATGATATCTTCAACAGAAAAAGTGTAAAATAATGATCGGATTAGAGTATGATATCACTATTTATCATTTTAATCTTTTTGTAACCTTAAAAAATGATTGCCAATGTAATCTAAAATGCATGTAATTTTGATAAATGTACAATATATGATGATTAATGTGTAAAACTCTATACATAAAAGGCGACTGAAATCTGTTTATAATAGAACCTAGTAAAATTCGTTTAAAATGATAAGCTAATACACTCAAATACTATTATACCGATCACTCCTTCAAACATTTCAACTAGACATATAGGTTTAGTTTATTCATAGTTTTCTATGTAATGTTTACTTTGAATTGGATCTTAAAGAGAAAACGTTCAGGTCTTCATTGTCATGAAGATATATTCAAGAATGATAATAATTCTCTTTGAGAAAATCTCAAATAGATAAATGATATATGTAGTAGATAATCTACTCAATAATAATAGTCATTAATTTATTCAATACTACCAATTTTATTACAGTAAAGTCATTTCAACACTAAATGTTCAATATTGCACTAAATGTTTCCAATTTATGACTATTCAATATACACACTTAGTATCCCTCACTTCAATCACAGACAACTCTATACCTATTCAGCTATCACAAATATTACCTTTATCCATCATATTATTGAATACATGACTTCTAACATGATCATCTTTCGTTTTGTTAAAGTACATTTACAAAGTAATATTTATCGACAATTGCTATGTTACTTTCATTAGTTGAAATTATGAGTCAGTTGAAGCTAGATCACCATGGAAACCCTGGAAGCACTGGATGGCCGTTTCGTTCTAGGATGGGACTCCTCAGCAATGCGCATCCACGATCCCGCGTCTTGCGAGATTCGAACCCATTCATTCAATAGTGACTGACTTCAAGAGACACTCTTGGGGTTCTAGTGAGAAGCCGTTACCAGTGGAGTTCAACCAGGTCTGCTGTGAGATATCAGCTCACTGAAGACAATGGTGACGGTGACACAATTTCATGGACTGGTTGAAATTAGTTATTAACACCGTTGGATGACAGCCGGCTAAGTGCTCTGATGGTTAAGCGCTGGCGCACGAGACTGATAGGTCCTGGGTTCGAGTCTTACGTGAGGCGGTATCGTGGATGCTAACTGCTCCATTCTAGGACGCAACGGCCGTCAAGTGATCCCAGCTTTTCCATGGTTGTCTAGCTTCAATTGACTCATGATTTCAACTATTGAAATTCCTGAAATCTCCACAAAACACATTCTAATAATTGTTATGTTACTTATAAGTTTTCCATTGTTTATGATCACAAAACTTTTTTTGGGTGCTTGAGTACTTGGGCTCGGAATTCTTAATAAATAATCTATATCTGGAAGACCTATTATAACATCAATTCGATTGTAAAATAGTTAACCCAAACGTTTGAACAGATATTTCTTTTTGTTAGAAAATACTTCATATGTGTATACAAAATGGAGAAAATCAGTAAGTTTTCGAATTATACTACCTGAAAGAACAACAGGGGTGTAAACAATTACAGAACTAAAACTGTCATTCAAAAATTTGAGCTACTTTTAAGTAGGTAAATAAATGTTACTAAATAAATTCATTTTTATGCTGTGTGAAATATAGATTATTTTACATTTAGGCTATTGGATTTTTGAAAGATAAAGAAAAGTAGTAAATAACATTTTGTAAAAAAATAGTTTGACCCAAAGTGATTTCCGTTTTTCATTACTTATTTTTACTTTTGTAAATTTTAAAAGCTAAATTCATGAGTCGATCTAAGTGAGACCATCATTGAAAACCTGGAAGAACTGAACGGACTCTTAGACAGGGACCATTCACGATCCAGTACACTGAACTCGAACCCACATTTAACCACTGAGCCCGTATCCAGTGGTTACTTACTTACTTACTTATTACTGTTAACCCTCGTGGAGGAGCATAGGCCACCCACCAGCATTATCCGTCCTGGCCAATGCTTTGCAGTAGTCATTCATCCTTTTCATGTCAGCTTCCGATTCATAACGCAATGTGTTCTTAGGCCTTCATCTCTTCAGTTTCCCTTCAGGATTCCAAGTAAGGGCTTACTTCCTGATGCAGTTTGGTTTCCTTAATGTATCTCCTGTTCACTTCCATCGATATTTCATAATTTCCTTGACAGATGGAAGCTGGTTTGTTCTCTCTCACAGTAGGCTGTTGCTGATGGTAACTGGAAAACGGATATTGAGTATGTTGCGTAGACAACTATTTATAAATACCTTAACCCTTTTGATTATGGTTGTAGTAATTCTGCAGGTTTCAGCTCCATACAGTAGAACTGTCTTGACCTTGATTCTGACTTTGATCTTGGTTAACGTACAATTGTTTTGAGTTCTATATGTTCTTGAACTGTACGAATGCGGCCCTTGCTTTACCAATCCTCACCTTTATGTTTGCATCTGATCCTCCTTGTTTATCGATGATGCTTCCCAACTACGTGAAAGATTCCACATCTTTTAGAGTTTCGCCATCAAGAGTGATTGGATTGGTGTTCTCAGTGTTGTATTTGAGGATCTTGCTTTTTCCCTTGTGTATGTTGAGACCTACTGATTCAGAGGCTGCTGCTGTTACACCAGTCGTTTGTGTGTATGGGTTGGAAGGGCTAGGTCATTTGCAAAGTCCAAATGGTTTAAATGATTCTGAGCTGTCCATTGTATTCCGTGCTTTCCCTCAGATGTCAAGGTCTTCATAACCCAGTCGACCACTAGAAGAAAGAGGGAGATTGAGAGTAAGCAGCCCTGTCTATTTCCGGTCCTCACTTGGAATGCATCTGTCAGCTGTCTTCTATGCACTACTTTTCACTGTAGTCAGTCGCATAAATTCCGTATGATTCTGACAATTTTCTCAAGTACCCCATAGTGTCGAAGAAGTTTCCATAAGTTCCTCCTATGCACACTGTCAAACTTCTCATAGTCAATGAAGTTGATTCATAGTGATGAGTTCCACTCAACTGATTGTTCAACGGAGATCTATAATGTCTTGATTTGGTCTGCGCACGACTGATCCTTACAGAATCCAGCCTGTTTACCACGAAGTTGGGCGTTTACTGAGTCTATCATCCGGTTCATCGACACTCTGTTGTAAACGTTTTCTGAATAACTGAATCAGGATGCAGATAATTGTATCCTAGTAAAGGTTTTTTAATAAAAAGGTTTCTTAACATTTGATGTCTTATTTCAGTTTTATGAAATGATTAAGTGCATTCACTGGATTGAACTGTTGTTCAGAATAGTTTTATTTAATGTCTTATTTAGTTTCCGGTATGTTGGGTACTACTATCACTACTATTACTACTACTACTATCACTACTACTACTGCTACTACTACTACTACTACTACTACTACTACTACTACTACTACTACTACTACGTTAGAATTTATTTAGCTTTGGTCTCCTGAAAAACTAAATAGCATTCAACTCATGTTTAATGATTATTTTCAAATTACTTTATGGTATTCACGATTTATGTTTATTGTATGGTGAACGAATTATACCTTCTGGTTACCCATAATAAGAGAATTATAGTAAAATTTAAACATAAGACTGCTAGTCGGGTATTGTTCATCTCTACTGAGTAAGAGGTTTTAAGTATTTCTTTTGAGTCAACTAGTCCTTTACCTCATGAGATGTTATAATAAACTTATGTGAGCGTTTTGTCTTCTATATAAAAAAATATGAATATCAACTTTAACAATTGAACCCGTTGTACACATTGAACATAATCAATATTCTGTCAGCTATTGCTTATCAGCGGTTCAAATTTCTCAAAACATTAATATAAACAAAAACATTTAAAGAATAACATTCACCTTCTCCATTTTTTTGATTTGATACTCCACTAACTGAATCAATCGGTTGACAATCAATACGGTTCGAATCGACTATACGCATAGGTGCACCAGTTAAATAACTGTAGAAAATAATTTTTGTACCTGGTTTAAACTTCCATTTTTCAACTTGCCACTGTGTAAAATAAACAATAGAGAGAATAAATCACAGTTAATATTCAAAGAATTACAATGATTGAGATCATAAGTTAATTGAAGCTAGACCACCATGGAAGACTTGAAAGCACTGAACGGCCATTTCATTCTGTTGTGGGAATTAACTTAAAAATGTGTTTGATTTTTTATTAAAGTAGATGATTACTGGAGTAAATTGAAAGCTTTTTACACCATATGAAATCAAATGAAAAATGTCTTGTTAAAACTAAGAGTTAGAGTTATTCTATCGTTAATATCTAAGATTGAGTTTTATTCAGTCTTTGTTTGAATGTATACATCATGAACACATCACCTAGATATTTCATTATGCGTATGTCATGAGATTCATAATGTAAGGCATAAATGATTTAAAATAGGTTTTTCCACTGAATCTAACTGCTATTTTCACAATCACTGAATGTTTACATTCATAGTTAGTTGTGCTTTTTTGATCAAGTTTGTATACATCAGTTCAGTTATATACTTGCATATCTACCTAGCCTGTGGAGAAATTCGAATGCTTCACTTCTATCTGAAGTTTGCGCTAATGATGTCGTTCAGAAGAATGATGAAAGCTTCATGACCAAATCATCCAACTCAGAGAGTAAAACTCCATCAAAACGAGGTGCATACAGTTGATCGCATAAAACTATTGAGCATTTTTTTATATACTAGACGTTAGTACGTGGTTTAAAACAGCGAAAAAGTTCCAGACAACGAATGTGTTTCATTTCGGCATAATATTTTATTTGAATATATTAATCAACATATGCTCACTAGTGACTGGCTTCAAGAGGTATATCCTGGAGTTTTAGTGAGAAGTAGTGACCAGTGGAGTTCAACCAAGTCTGTTATGAGATAGTGACTCACTGAAAACAATGGTGGATGTGTCGCTTAATTTCGTGGATTAGTTGTAGTTAGACATTAACACCGCTGGACGACGACCAGCTCAATGGTCTAGTGGTTAAGTGCTCGCGCGCGAGACCAGTAGGTCCTGGATTAGAATCTCGCAGAGGGCGAGGTCGTGGATGTGCAGTACTAGGACGAAACGGCTATCCAGTGCTTCCAGATTTCCATGATGGTCTAGCTTCGATCGATCTATGAATTCAACTATAAAAATATTATAACTGTTTGTTCAATAAGATTATCTTATAAAGTACCTCAAAGATTGATTTCATAAAGTTATGGTAGAAAGTCATAATCTATAGAATAAATTTGTTTTTGAAAGAAAAAAAAAAATCAATTTTCCATCAATGAAAATGGAGAAGATTTGTCTTTGATAAATTTGAAAACTTTGACTATTCAATATTAATTCAAACGTTGAATAGTCTATTCTTCATCGAGTGATCTGAAGTCTTTCGGTTCATTAAACATAGTTATTCATTACTTAGTAATTGCTTAGCATATTCTAACCATCAATTGATGTTCATGAGAAGAATAACATGAAAACAATACTAAATATTCACCAACTTAACTAAATACTTGATAATGTATACATTATTTCAGATGCTATTCAATGTACATCAGGAAACTGTATTCAAAATAGTTTTCTTTTTTTTTTGAAATGTACAATTATACTAGTTTAATGTAGATATTTTCTTAATAACACTATTATGGTTTCATATTTCATTGATTAACATTAGAAATATTGTGTTTATCATTTTCTATTCAATCTATGTATTTACATAGATTAAGGGGAAGATTAGAAATGTCAAAACAATATCAACCTTTCAAAATAGTCTAGACTAATGGTAAATAATTTACTTGGTAATAGACCAATTTCTTCATATTAGAAGTACATTCTATTGATTCATCATAAACCTTCATGTATTTAATAATCTTTACATATGATGAATAAATCATAGTTATACAGAAGTATTTTTAGTCAAATTATAACTTCAATAGTTGAAATCATGAGTCATTTGAAGCTAGATCGCCATGGAAGACCTGGAAGAACTGGATGGCCGTTTACGTCCTAGTATAGGACTCCTCAGTAGTGCGCATTCACAACCCCGCACCCCGTTGGATCTATCAGTTTCGCGCGCGAGCGCTTAACCAACGGTGTTAATGTTTAACTTTAATTAATCTACGAAATTGAGCCACCGTTATCTTCAGCGGACTAATATCTGCTGAGGAGTCACATACTAGGACGAAACGGTCGTCCAGCACTTCCAGGTTTTGCCATAGTGGTCTAGCTTCAATTGAATCATGATTTCAACTATTGAACTTACTAAAATCTCCAAAAACTCCTTCTGACAAATGATAACTATTGATAAACAAAAATGATGTTATGTCTAGATACTTTATTTAATGTATTTATGACATTACATTCGTGACTTTAAGTAAAAATATAGATAAATACAAAAGTTGGATTCTTTATCCTAATGAAGGTTATTTTCTTACAGTGTTAAAAGCCACTGAATTCTTTGGATACATAATAGCATAGTTTATTTGTTAAAGAAGCTATTAGAATAAAACCTTATATTTGAGTCAAACATTTTGATATTTAATATAGGTTCTAGGTTCGAGTCTCATGTGCAAGATCGTGGATGCGTACTGCTCATGTGTTCCATGCTGAGACGTAATGACTGTCCAGTGTTTCCAGGTATTCAATGGTAGTTTAACTTAAATTGACTTATGAATTCAACTATTAAATATTTTATCAGAAGGAGGTTTTGTGGAGATTTTACTAATTTAATAGTTGGATTTATGAGTTAATTAAACCTACACCATCATGGAAAACCTAGAAGTACTGGATGGCTATCTCGTCCTAGTATGAGACTCCTCAGCAGTGTGTATCCACGATTCCGCTCGTGAGATTCGAACCTAAGACCTACCGGTTCTCACTCAATAAAAGCAATAGTGCAAGGTGGCACGATTTCATGGATTGGTTGAAGTTAGATATTAACATCATTGGATGTTAATTCAGTGGTCTATAGGTTGAACGGTCGCGCGCGAGACCACAGTTTCTGGGTACGGATCTCGAGAGAGAGATCGTGGATGCGCACTCCTCAAGAATTACATACTAGAATGAAACGACCGTCCAGTGCTTCCAGGTTCTCAATGGTAATCTAGCTTCAATCAACTTATGAATTCAACTATTTAGTTTTTTTAGTAGTTGAGGTCATGAGTCAATTGAAGCTAGACCACCCTGGAAAACCTAGAAGCACTAGATGGCTGTTTCGTCCTAGTATGGGACTTCTTAGCAGTGCGCATCCACGATCCCGCTCCCCGCGAGATTTGAACCCAGAACCTATCAGTCTCACACGAGAACGTCCAACCAATCTACGAACTGTTGAGTATTTCCTTAATAGGACGAAACGGTCATTCAGTCTTTCCAGATTTTCCATAGTAGTCTAACTTCAATCGACTTATGAATTCAACTATTTAATATTTATCAATATAAGGGTTGTAGAGATTATTAAATTTTTGATTTGAGATCATGAACCAATTAATGTTAAACCACCGTTGGTAACCTAGAAGCACTAAACGTCCGTTTCGTTCTATTATTGGACTCCTCAACAATGCGCATTCATGATCCCGACTGGCAAGATTCAAACACTCAACCTACTGGATCACTGAGCTGGCATCCAATAAATATTCATGTCTAACATCAACCAATCTAGATAATACAGACAACTATCAATGTAGATTACAAAACAACAACAACAACAACAACGACAAAAACAACCCAAAAATCTTTTTCATATATAATCAATATATATATATATATATATATAGTCTTACAAATATTTGTTCTTTTTGATATGCCATAATTGTTTCCATTAAATTAATTGTAAATATACCATTATTATTAATTGGAATTAATTTAATTGGTATAGAATTCATACCAAATTTTGTTGTTAACCATTGAAAACAAGGAAATATATAAATTGCAATGATATCATTATAAATATTATTTAAATTATTTGTATATGTTAAAAAATGATTAGTTGTATAAGGATATAATTGAGATGATGGTATAGAAGATGAAGATAATGTATTGAATAGATTCATAGAAGAATTCATTGATAATTGTTGAATAATTACATATTCTAAATACCAATTATTATTACTATTATTATTACTATTAGTAGTAATAGTAGTAGTAGTAGTAGTAGTAGTAGTAGCAGTAGTAGTAGTAGTATTAGTAGTAGTTGAATGATTCTTCTCATTTTCATTATTATCTGATTCTAACCATATAGTAAGTGATTTTAATCGACCAAGAAATACAGCTTCAACATTGAATGAACTAGTCTAAAAAAAAAGTAGTAATAATAATAAAATGAATTTGGAAGTAAAAGAAATGTAGAAGAAAAGATATTTTTGGTGAGACCAGAATTTATAGACGACCTTCAAGCGAAGCTACAGTGACCTTGAGAGTGTCTACCTACTTATTAGGGTTAAATAAAGGTTATAAACTAGTTTAAAGAATAAGGATTATGATTTACAGTTGATAGTTAAAGTTAGGAATTAGATTTAGGGTTTTCATCACAAACTGGCATCAGCTATAATGCTAAAACTCTATTTAGCAAAATGGATGAATGAATTTTGAGCCAAAATTCGAGACCTTTTATTTTATGGTTCGTTCATAAATTATAGTCTCACAGATATTTTAAATAGAGTTTTGTTCTCTGAATTAAATAGTTTGATCGTGGAGTTTTCATTGTTTTTAATCTAAGAGCGTTATAAAGCTAGTATTAGTTTTTAATGATCCACATTATTAATAGTAGTCAGCTTATGCTACCTAACTGAGAGTTTTTTAAATGGTAGGATTGATACCCTTTACAACTAGACAAAACGTAGAGTTGTAGGAACAATATAAATACATACTTTCTCTTATGAAAGATCTACCCAAAGAGCCTTGCAAAACCCTGATTCCAAACCAATGGTGCATATGGGTTCCAGGGAACAAAAGGTTTATGAACCTATTGTTTATCACCGACTACTATGGGATCGCATCTCGGTACGTCGCCTCATTGCCTTGAGGATAAGACCTCCCAGTTCAATGACCCCCAAGAAAACCACATTCTTCGGTTTGAGCACCTGGGTGGTATCACAGCCTTCACACAAATCAATGAGAACTGATACTGGCCTCATTGTTACTGTGTCGCATTTATGTGTTCAAATAAATAAATGAATATTCTAATATTTCCTTTAATACATTTGAGTAAGTAAATTAGTGCCAAATTGATTTTTCGACAATTCTTGTTTAATTCATATTATTTCTTGAATTACGTAATCTTCGATCTGACAAACTATTTGATCATTAACTACATTAATTTCTTTCATATTTCTGTCAACTATGTTTATTCTAATTCTTGTTCTTCATGCATTTTCTATTAATCCAAGAACTGATTCAAGAATATACTTCACACTCTTCATTGAAACATTTACAAACGTCAGTTAACAAACTTATTTTACCGATAATCTTAAATTGCTATTCTATATTTCTGGATAACCTACTCACTTTTAACTTGGCTTCTCATTTCGGCTATTCATGTGGATTTATAACTGTGGAACGTACTTACTTACTTACTCACTTACTGTCGTTACCTCTCATGAAGGAGCATAGACCGCTCACCTGCATTCTCTATCCAAATCTATCCTGAGCAATCCTTTTTAGTTCTTTCGAGTTTCTATTCATCCTACTCATGTGTGCTTCTAATTTTCGACGTAATGTATTCTTTGGCCTTCCATTATTCCCATTTCTCTTCAGGATTCCAAATTAGCACCTATCTCGTGATGCAGTTTTATGATTTTCTCAATGTACATCCTATCCACCTCCAACATCTCTTCCTAATTTCCTCTTCACTTAGAATCTGGTTTGTTCTTTCTCATAGAAGACTATTGCTGATGGTATCCGGTCAACGGAAATTGAGTGTATTGTGTAGACAGTTGTTTATAGATACTTGTACCTTCATGATGATAGTTGTGCTAGTTCGCCAAGTTTCAACTCCATGAAGTAGAACTGTCTTGATTTTGATTGACAGATAGTTGTTTTTCAATTGTAGGATGTTCATGAATTACTGTTATCTTATTTCCCATTGTTCAATAAAGAACACATATAACACTTAATATAAAATTTCTTAAAAATAGTCTGTTATATATATATGATACAAATATTAAAATTTATTACATTCATTACATACTTTCCCTCTTGAAAATGCATTTATTTTAGATATTTCTTTATTCCATAAAATTCTTGTACCTGTATCACCACGATCACCTTGTATTAATATATTTACTTTTGTTGTATTATTCATTCCTGAATTCCAAAGTTTACCAGTTTTTGTTATTACTTGATATTGAATTACTAATAAAAAGAAACAAAGAGGTACGATTAACAGGATGAACAATGATAATCAGTTTTGTGGTCTTATGATTAAGCGCTCGTGCACGAGACTAATAGGCCCTGAGTTCGAATCTCGTAGGGGGTGTGATCGTGGATACGCACTGCTGAGGAGTCCCATACTAGCACGTAAACGGACATCCAGTGCTTCCAGGTTCTCCATGGTTGTCTAGCTTCAATTGACTCATGATTTCAACTATTGAAATTTTTAAAATCTCCACAACACCACTTCTGATAAATAAAATAGTTGAATTCATGAGTCAATTAAAGCGAGACCACTATTGTGAAATAATAACTCATTGAAGACAATGGTAGATGAAAGAGCGATTTCCTTAATGGTTTGAAGCTAAACATTAACACTATTGGATGCCAGATCTGTGGTTTACAGGTTTAAAGTTCACGCACGAGATCATGGATCCTAGGTTTGAATCCCGTGGTGGGATTGTGAATGTGCGCTGCTGAGAAGTCTCATACTAGAATGAAACGGCCATCTAGTGATTCTAGATCTTCCATGATAGTCTAGATTTCATTGACTCATCAATTCAACTATTGAAAAAATTACTACGATCTCCACAAAACCCCTATATTTTGAAGATTTAAAATGCTCAACTACTTAACTTTGAAGAAATAAAACATTTTCAATGCTTTTAAATTTATGAATAAGAACAATGACGACTAGCCGCTTAAATATTTTCAATGTATAGAATTACTATTCATCTATGACAAAATAATACTCACTGTTAATGACATAATTAATAGAGAATATTCACAATTGATCGATCACTGGGTGACCAATGTCATGCGTGTCTAGTCCTTATTATTAGTGCAGATCGAATGCTATCGATCATGTTGCAATGTGGCCACCAGTCTAGGTGACTCGACACTGCGGGCGCTATTGTAAGATTAGATGGTGGTTGGAAGTCGTCGACAGGATACCCTAGATCCGGGTTTCGTGCTACTTGGTACTCGTCAGCAAGGTTTACATGTAATCTTTGAGGGAACTGGTGCTCCCTTGCGGATTTGACCCCGTGTCACCCAGCTTCACAATCAGAGACGTTACCACTGAGCTATCCGGGCCGCGATCGACCTCCTGTAGGACTGAGATGTAATCACAATTGATTAATCACTGGGTGACCGATGTCTAGGGTATCCTGTCGACGACCTCCAACCACCATCTAATCTTATAGAGAATATTCATTAGGATCTTGAAAGAAATCTATTCAATTTTATAAATGTATATACTTTAATTAAAGGGTAGATTTTGAATGAAATCCACTTGAATGTATCATTATGCTTACTTCTAATTAACATTTAGCTCAATATAATTAAACGGTATTATACTTTTTTTAAGGATTGAAGCAACAGATTTTATTGATTTATAGTTTATAAGTTAGCTGATCATGGTAAATGAAAAAAAGATCATGAAAAGCAACACCAGGTTTATCTATATAACCTTGTGTGTCTGGGAAAATCTGTGAGCATATGTCTTTTTATTTCATTAGTGAGACATTCATTCTATTCACTACCCCATGCACAGTCTCCATCCTTGTTTTATTTCGTTTTCATGGGAATAAATTCTGATTAAACTGTCTTAAGCATAATCGAAGTGAGATTGTATATATAAAGAGGATAACAGTAAAAAGAATTTCAATTATTGTATTTTCCATCTTGATTCAAAATGAAAGAGACACGAACTCACTAATAAGCTTATCGGTCATTAGGCAGTGCATTTAAAATTTGGGACTAGGCTAAATAGATAAGCAATACTATAAACTCACGGAAGTCAGAATTAATATATCAACGTATAAAAAGAAAAAGACGTTTGTTAGGATGACCACTGAGATGTAATCAACAACACAAAATTATCTAATTTACTGAAATTGTTCAGTCTCTTATTGGCATATGTGCATACTGAGCGTATTGCCTCGATATTACCTTAATTTGCAAGCATCATAAGTAAAGATGAACATAAGCAAAGAGTGGATATCAAATCTGAGATGAGGGTACATCCAGCTGAAGAGTCCCGAATAGGACGAAACACGCGTCTTGGATTCCACTGCTAGCCACTATCCATCTTTGCTTATAAGCATTTTTCGTTTACTGGATCGAATCCAGCAATTGATCAGCCTACTATATCGAGGTAAAACGCAAAGTATGCACATATTCCAATAAGAGACTGAACAATTTCAGTGCTAAACATCAATGGGAAGATTCATGTAAAACAATAAGAAGTGAATTAAACTTCACCCGATTGTACAAGCAAGTGGCTATCTGGGCTCAGTAGCTGAGTGAATAACGCGATGGCGTTTGAAGCGAACGGTACTGAGTTCGAGTCCCAGAGTGAACATCAACTCTGAGATACAGGTACATCCGTCGGACGAGTCCCGAATAGGACGAAACACGCGTCTTGGATTCCACTGCTATCCACCATCCATCTTTGCTTGCAAAATTATCTACTTATTAGTAAAAAGTAGTATAATGTAAATTCGAAAATAATATGCCTTATTCTCTTGACCTATTAGTAATCGAACAGTAATTTATTTCACAGTTTCTCTTGTTTACCAACCGTCAAAATTCAGAAAAAAATGTCAATATGTTATGTACAATGGATAATATCGCCCACCGTTTTAGTTTCACAGTCCAACCTACCAGGAGCCCTTTCCTCTTGTTGAAATAATGTTGTAATATCCAATGGGTATACTTTTAATATTCGTCCAAGTCTTGGTGCATGATTAGATAGTTGAGTTCCAGGTGCAGCAATTTCACGTACTAAACTGCCATCACCTTTAAAGCGTGATAACCATTTCATACATGGAAAAGAAATTTCATATGTTGGTATAGATCCTGTCAATAAATTACTCTCTTCTTCAGTATTTAATAGTCTGGTTAAACAGGATGAATTTCGTGTGCTGAATTTGAGCGAATTCATGGTCATATTAGGGTGATTTTGTGTTAATCTTAGGTAAATTTCTTCTGGTAACCATTCAGGATAAGTACCGTAACCATCATGACTTATACGTATTTTACTGATTTCCATAATATCGTTTAAGGGTATCTAAAAAGATGAAAAACAAAATTAAGCAGAATTTCAAATTTTATATGAGGATTTGAATCATAAACTGACGCTAACAAGAAAATAACTGGCAACCACCCATCCTCGGGGAGCCACTTCACTGTGTTTCAGCTAATTTTAGTCAATGAAGAGAGATATCTACAAAATAACAGAACCATCAAGCATTATTTTAATCGATAAACTACGTTATGAAAAATGCTAATTACAGTGAATCACTTAAATTAATGTGAATACTGTGGTCGGTTAAAAGTTATCCAGCAAGGGTGAATTACTAATGTAGATAGATTTAGAAGGAGGTAATAAGTGGTGAATAAACTGAATCATTTTATGAGCCAAAACGATATAGATATAAACAGAACAATCGTCTAAAGAATAAGCATAATTAACACTTTATGGTTCTATATTACGAACTAAACTTAGCTATCAAGAACCAACGTTCGATAGACAGCCGTTTTTTTTACCTTAGTGTAACACTCCTTATTAGTGCTCATTCAGTAACCGATTACGTATGGAACTCTTGAACTAAGATCATGACTAACAATGATTTAAAAATGTAAATGATGAAAGCCGATGAGATCAAGGACGGTGGCGCGATTCTGTGAATTGGTTGGAGTTGGACATTAACATCATTAGATTTAGGACCAGTGATCTACAGATTAAACATTCGCCCGAAATCTAGGGTTCTGGGTCGGAGTCCCACATTCAGGATCGTGGATGTACACCGCTGAGGAGTCCCATACCAAGACAAAACGGCCGTCCAGTGCTTCCAGGTTTTCCATGGTGGTCTAGCTTCGGTTAACTCACGAATTAAGCCCTATTTTAATGTTCAATTCATTTAAAATTATCAAAATTAAGCTTGATAACTGATATTTACAGATTCTTTAATAATCGAAATCATGAGTTGATTGAAACTAGACAACCATGAAAGACACAGGAGCACTGGTTAGCCGTTTAGCCCTAGTATGGGACTCTCCAGCAGTGCGCATTCACGATGCTGCACAAGGGACTCGGACCCAGGACCTTCGGAACTGCGCACGAGTGCTTAACCTGTAGACCACTGGCCTTGCGTCTAATGGTGTTAATGTTTAACTTAAGCAATCCACAATTCATTTAGTGTTTTCAAATCAATGAAAGTCATAAAACGAATAAACTTCACAGTTTCTTTCCAGCATAAAATTAATAATTTTTAAAAAAATGTTAGCCATGATGATTCTTTGTTGACACCATTCTTTGAGAGACGAAACGCATTCATATCAGTGCAAATAAACACAGTCTTTACAAGTCTTTTCCGTTACAATATATATGGTAGCTAATACATTAGTTAATAATTAAAAGTATCCAACGGATTACTAGATAGGGATTGTGACATACTTTATAGGTATAAGTGAAAAACACCGTACTTTTATATAATCATGATTATTTTGAATAATAATACTAGAAAGATAATACAATTACAAATTCTCAGTCATATTATTTACTCGTTACTTTAACTCTACTAAAGGGTAAACTCACTTCAAAATAATCAATACTCCCTGGATAAAATGGTCCCAATTGTGTCATATTCGTTGTGTTAGATTCGTTTAAATCATTGCCTTGTATAACTTGTACATTTCCATCATTTAAACTCAATGTACATACATATGCTGATCTAAGTAGTATAGGTTGAGTTGATCGATATCTATTACAGATTGTAATAGTTGGATTAGCTGTACAAATAGATGAATATATTTCACCTGTTTGTGGATCATTCTGACCAGATTTGATAAATACTTGACAAACTGAGGGAAAAAAAAACAATGAAGTTTTATTTAATAAAGCTTAAACTATTCTGTATTCATCACTATACAATTAAAAAAAAAACAAAGTTGATTGATAATTAAGCATATATCGCTGGTTGAAATTATGAGTCAATGGAAGCTAGATCACCATGGAAAACCTGGAAGTACTGGATGGGTTTTTTTCCAGGTTTTTTATGGTGGTCTAGCTTCAATTGACTCATGATTTCAGCTACTGAAATTTCTAAAATCTCCACAAAACTCCTTCTGATAATGAAGCACATAATTGAATTTCTTAATACAAATATTCAATTGTGATTGAGTCATCTTGTAGATTAAATGAAATATAAAAGTATAAATAACAGAATTATAAGAGAAGGTTGAAGGCTATCAGAGTTTCCACATAAATTGAGGAGTTTCAGGACAGTTGAGAGGATGTAGGTTAGATATTTAGCGAAAAATGGACAAAGAAGTTGACAATTAATCTTTGGTATTCATGGTTAATTAGGTCATGTTAACTACTGATGATTATCACTTTCAGGCAAATAAATTATTTACTACTTTTAGTAAACGACACATACGATAAACTTCAGATTGTCCTTAAACCATTATTCAGCTGATGAATAAACGTATCGCATTTTAATAGCTTAACAATAAATAAGAATAGGGTTGTAACCTAAGATAATATAGATGAGGTATGTATATTTATTGCAAGAGATTACACAATATTTACATATTACATATATATAGTCTTCAGTCGTTCATTTGAATATTCCAGTGTGTTCTGATGTCTTAACTGCTATCTTGACTGACCTCCAAGTGTTCTAACAATCTTATGCTTTCAATGCACTGAAACTCTTCACTCTGTCTGACAAATGTTGCAACTTTGACATCACATTCCGCTACACACTATTTATAAACATCCTTCTAAGTGGCGTTCACTATAACATAACTAAATTTCAAATGGGTATTTTACATTTATGATTCTGGCTTTCTATACTGCATTAGTTCCTGTCAGACATGTGATATTAGGAGTGTCATGACTATATTTTTTATTGTCTGTAGTGAATACATGAGAATAGTATAGTACATATACTTCTAGAAGCTTAATTTTAATCTGCTTTAATGGTCTATTTTCATTTTCTTCATAAATTTAATTGGAGGGTTATATTTCAAGAATATATTTACAGAATAAATTCATGAGATTATATCAAGTGAAACGTTTGTATGTTTCAACAAATTGAGCATTAGTTAGAAAGTTAATAATTAATATACTTTTGTGATACCCCAATCAGTAGAAAATCCTAAAAGTTGAATTCATGAATTGATTTCAGCTAGACAACCATTGAAAACCATGGAGAACTGGACGACCATTTAGTCTTAGTATGAGACTCCTCAGTAGTGCGCACCCAAGACTCGAACTTAGAACCTTTGGTTTCACGCGTAAACATTCAACCTGTTAATCACAGATCCAGCATCCAACGATGTTAATGTTTAACGTTAACCAATCTAAATTGTATTTCTGACATTTAATATAAGTTTATTATTAAGTGAAACGTTTGTTTTTGGGTTTGATCAAAATTTAAAGCTTTAATTACTAAGTAGATGCTCAACAATCTTCTTTGCTTTATACATTTTGTAGAGAATAAATTCGATCACATGATGAATTGTATCGATGTTATTTTCAAACAATCTCTTTACTTCACATTGTCAAACAATAATGAATTTAACCCAAATGTAGATCAATTCAAAAAGGAAATCAGGAAAACCTAGAAGTTATTAATTTGAACAATCTTCTTTGTTAACGATAATATCCTAATAGTTATCCCCAAAATCTTAAGCAGACTTCTATGGAATAGTGGCTAAATGGTCAAGAAATTTGGCTTTCAGATATTAAGTCTCAAGTTCGAGTCCTTCTCATTAGATTTAAGTAGCAATGTAACATCACTATACCTCATATAAATATTGAGTTTTAAAGCTTCATACATAAACCTGTACTCAATAAATGAGTTAGTAATAAATTATCTTGAAGGTAAAAAGAAAACAGTTTCTCGTCGATGACCTACGAAACGTCTACTTTATAAATATCATCTTTAATAACAGTAAAAAGTAACTATATTGCAGTGAAACATCTGAAATATACCTGATATCCATTTGTTTATTAGAAGATAAACAAACATAATGAACTTAATCTTAGACTATTTTCCAATGATTATTATGATTAACATTGAACAAAATAGACTTGGATAACAATAACAACAACAACAACAATAATAATAATAGTAATAATTATACTATTTCTATTTGTATTCAGCTACATTTGTCATATTTTGACAAATAATAACAATTAGAAGGGGTTTTGTGGAGAATTGGTAATTTCAATAGTTGAAATCATGAGTCAATTGAAGCTAGACTACCATGGAAAACCTGGAAGCACTGGACGGCTGTTTCGTCCTAGTATGGGACTCCTCAGCAGTGCGCATCGACGATCCCGGATGCCGGCTGAGTGGTCTAGTTGGTTAAGCGCCTGGCGCTAGACCGGTAGGCCCTAGGTTTGAATCCCGCGGGTGGCGGGATCGTGGATGCGCGCTGCTGGGGAGTCTCATACTAGGACGAAACGGCCGTCCAGTGCTTCCAGGTTTTTCATGGTGATCTAGCTTCAATTGATTCATGATTTCAACTATTGAAATTTTTAATTACATCATCATTAGGCTTTACTTTAATATACATGAATATTTATTACAAAAAGGTTAAACTAATCAATACAATTTAAGTTAATAATCACAATGAAATAGATTACGTCATCGTATATAATAGATAAAAGTACAAATTGATAGTAGGAAGACAGGTATACGGATAGTAATAAGAATGATAAAATATGATAACAAAAGTCTTATCTCAATAATAAAACATTGGAACTAGAAGATCAAACCATGGTAAATAGACTTAAAATAATCATCAGAAAGGGTTTTTGTGGAGATTGTAGTAATTTCAGTAGTTAAGATCATGAGTCAATAGAAGCTAGACCATCATGGAAAACTTGGAAATTACTACAATCTCCACAAAACCCCTTCTGATACTAATCAACATATGCTTAATAGTGACTGGCTTCAAGAGGTATATTCTGAAGTTCTAGTGAGAAGCAGTGACCAGTGGAGTTCAACTGGGTCAGTTGTGAGATAGTAACTCACTGATGACAATGGTGGATGTGTCGCTCAATTTCATGGATCAGTTGAAGTTGGACATTAACACCGTTGGATACCGGCTGGCTCAATGGTCTGGTTGGTTAAGCGCCTGGCGCGAGGCCGGTAGGCCCTGGCTTCGAATCCTGTCAAGCGGGGTCGTGGGCGCGCACTGCTGAGGAGTCTCACAATAGGGCGAAACGGCCATCCAGTGCTTCCAGGTTTTCCATGGTTTTCTAGCTTCAATTGACTCATGATCTCAACTATTAAAATAATCATCACGAAACATTACAGCCATTACGTAATAATTACATTAAAATGAAATACTCTGTTATGATTTCATTAATTAACTAATTAGGTGTAATGTATTGAATTATTGAAGAATTGATTGAGAACAATCAATTTTGTAAAGAGCAAGAACAAAGATTCTAGTAGAATAGTATGAATTCATTTCATTTCGTCTGGTTCCCGTCAACTGCTTACAACCTGTGATATTCAAAATCATAATTACATTATGGGTTATAAGTCGCTTACATGAAAGGGTTTGGTTGGAAGTTATATTGAAGACATATTCGTATAGTATAACAAGGGTGTAAATAAATTGAATAGACTGACTATTATAAATATATACATTATGTGAAAGAACGCTCTACAACATTGTTTGTGACAACAGTTCAAAGGGCCAGAAACAAGTGATTACACAATAAGCAAACGTTGATTACGTAATCACTTGTTTCTGGTCATTTGAACTGATGTCATAATGAATGTTGTAGAACGTTCGGCGAGACTATAATTTATAGACGACCTTTAAACGAATCTTATGTGAACTTGAGAAATATTAGTCAATTCGAAAACAGTTATTATACAGTAAAAATATTTTTTACAAAACCAAAGAATTAAGATGGATACATTAAAAACCTGTCAAGATTAGAAGGAGGTTCAGAAGTTCTAAAATCTTAATGAATACAGTAGAGGAAATCATCCATATGGCTCCATAATAGTCGACCTCTAGAGACATGATAGGGTCGTAAAAAATCCATTCTAGCGGACTTTTTCCTCCAACACATATTCCATCGAAAAACAACATCATCACGGTAGTCTGCACAAGGTTCACAAGTCATTTAATTACCTTAATCACAAATAAAGTAACTTTTTAGTAGTCCCATTTATTGTAGTCACTCAATTATCACATTTTCTCTAAAATTCGCTGCAGACCGATCGTACGTGAGCATCAGGTACTGAAATTGGCGCCGTGATATTCAAATTCCTGAAACACTTCTGATTGGCTAGTCCATAAATTATAATCTCGCCGAGCGTTCTTTCACATTAGGTATACATTTGCAACAGTCAGTCTATTCAATTTATTTACACCCTTGTTATACTATACGAATATGTCTTCAATATAACTTTCAACCAAACCCTTTCATGTAAGCGACTTATAACCCATAATGTAATTATGATTTTGAATATCATAGGTTGTAAGCAGTTGACGAGAGCCAGACGAAATAAAATGGATTTTTCTTCATAACAGTTTGTCTTAAGATTTTTCTTATTAAAAAAAACTGTTATCGAGATACAAGCATTATATGCAAAGATGGATAGTGAATAGCAGTGGAATCCAGTTCGACGCGCGTTTTTTCCTATTTGGGACTCATCAGATAGATGTGCCTGCATCTCAGAGTTCATTTTCACTCTGGGACTCGAACTCAGTACTGTTCACTTCAAACGTCATCGCTCTATCCACTTAGTTACTGAGTCCGGGTGCCCAAACAGAAACAGGCGGTTTTCTTGGAGGGTCAAATCCAGAGCGTTTGGCCTGAAGATCTGATCCACAAGGCAGTGGAGAAACGTCAGGAGATGCAGTCCCACAATAGCCGGTGATCAACAACAGGTTGACATGCCATTTGTTCTTTCAGGATTCTGGAGCCCATATACACCATTGGTTTGGAATCAGGGTTTTTCAACTCCCTTAGGTAGATTGTTCATATACACCAATCTGGTTAGAGTGCCGGACATTCTCTTTTCGTCCTCTAAATTTCGTAACCATCACCCGCGCCACGACAAGGTAGTGAGTAGGACTTCTGTGGTAGTGGAGAGGTAGAGCTAAATCTCCCCACCGTCGACCGTACCAGGGCATTTAGAGGTAATAAGCTGTCATAATCTGGTGATATCAAAGCCAGATACAATTTTACATGTAGTTCATGTAGAAAGGAAAGATTTTGTAAAAAAGATTAAATACCCTACTTAGTAATTACAAGATGTTTTAAAGATAATCAATTAAAAATGATATCATCCGATGTAATTTAAAAAAGAACCAAATCTTTGAAAACTATAAAGCTACTATATTTAATTTCAGTAAGCCTACTCAATATACTGAAAACTATAAAAACTATAATATACAAACTGTATTCTCTTTAAAATGTTAATAACGAATGATTCGTTTCTCAATATGGTGTGTACTACTGATGTTGACAGATACAAGTAATATGTATCGTCAGTCGAAAGTAAAGTGCCTGGCGGTGAAAAGGTTAAGAAGATCGAAGAGATGAAAATGAGAACAGAGAGTGATTGGTGTAAAAACAAAGGAACAACAAAGTCTGAGATAATTAGTGGATATTTTTCAAATCAAGTATTTACTATATGGTTCTTAGATTTCACTAAGAGATTCTGTAATTTTATGTTCGAATACATTTGGTTGTTTCCGTCTATATTCTCGCTTTCTATACCAATACCAGAGACTGTAGATTTATAGCGATGTGTATTGAAATTAAAATTACTGTGACTGTAATAAAAAAAAGTAAAACCCAGGTCCACGATGAATAATCACTTTCGATTCAACAGTGATTCCTACGGGAGAATGAATCACTTAATGACTTATTTAATCATCTAACATATTACTATCACGAAATAGATAATACATTTATAGTACCGGGAAAAGAATAAGCAAGTTGATTTGCTTAGCATATTTAACAACATTCTTCTATCAATTAGATTCATTTTATAGAATGAATGAAATAATAGTAATACATTTTAGATATTCGATACTAAAAGCAGATTACAAAGAACATTAAGAAGATGTATGGGTGTAAAATCGTCTGGTGAATAATATACATATTTCTGAGGTTGGTTACTAGGTAGATTCTGAAGAACCTTGATAAAATTTCTGAAACATAGCATCAAATTAATGTGCTCCATCGACACAATCATGAAAAAAAATGGAATGACATCTATAGCCCACTTTAGTACGGACGGCTGTTCAATTGATTTCATCGACAAATATATGAACCATATAAAACAAAGACGGATAATAGCGACTGTAACGAAAAGAGAACGATGAAAATCCCTTCACAGCCTTTTTTGTTGGACAGTATTGTCATTTATTTGTTTTTTCTCCCTGTCGTGTATTTTAACCTTTGTTCAGATTTCGTTTGAGCTTTTATTATGTGATTTTGATTAAAGACTTATCTTTTTGTTACCTGATTTTCTATTACATGTTGCCGGACTATTGACAGGAAGGTCGTGTTTGACTGAGATCAAGGTCACGGTATGATTCAGTGTGTGACTGTTAACCTTATGACTGCCTGCTTGGGAGGATTTCTGGAATCCTTGCAGATAGATATTTGATCTCATTTGTTGGGAATATATTTGTTGATTCTCAGGTATCAAACCGTTTGGAATTAACTGTTTCTTTTATTGTTTAGCGCGCTACTTTGCGTTAGAGAAACTTTTGACTGTATAGCACAGTCTGTACCGTTTGAGGTATTTTGTATTGTTGATATAATTTGTACTATTTCCTAAATTAGAACCGTTTAAATTTAGCACAGAGTTTGTGTTTTGGATATAATTTATTAGGAGTGTCTCAAAAACGCTTCGAGAATTATACAGAAGCGTGTAGTCTGGCCTATTCGAATACATTTTGGTTCGTTAGTCCTGCGTTCAAACAGAATACTGACAGTTCGGTCGTTATAGTGACTGTTTCAAAGATATCACTTTTCTTCAGATTTAAGTTCAAAAACGAAAAGAGTTGTCAAATATTCACACAAAGGTTTAAAACAAAGTTTAAAAAAGTGTTGTTTGCAACCAAACTGAACGTGAACATTTTATATCTGTCCAAAAATAATAACCACAGACAAAGATAGACTGTCTGAATTCTCTACATCCATGTACAGATGTTAATTTGACTGCTTTTGTGGATCCAGCAAATACATTAACATATCATTCAGGCTTTTTGAAAGAGTAACTGTTAAAGATGATTAAGAAACTTATCCTTGATCATTTGGTTGATAATAAACATGAAGTTGACTTTAATACAACTTTCGGTTTATTAACTGTAATTCATTAAATATACCAAATATCCTTAGCATTTCATTGATTGTGTTCGAATCCATACCTTCGTATATTAAATAAATTTTCAAGACCCCTGTCTTTACTATGAGATAGACTATACTACGGCAGATTTAAATAAAGGATATATTCCCCTTTACTTTATCAATATTTTCCTACTTTTTGTTCTAATATTCATCTCATTTCTCTCACATTACTATTAGTAAGTTGACATGCTATCAAAAATGCTTCATCAATTCTAGCCTTAATCACAATTCATAAACCTAAGATTATAAAAAGGTTATCGTAAGCTTTCTAGTTGCACCTTTAATTCAAGACAAATCTTTTGTTATATCTAACCATTGAATCTTTCGATTTGAATTCATCAAACTAAGCAATATTTCTAAGCATTGAATTGGCATTTATTCCAAGAGCTTTTTAACACCTATTTCTTGAAATATAAATGATAAAATACAATTGTTCCATAATAAGTTATCTCAGATAATTAAGATTAGATTTACCAATAAAACCACTAGTTGAACAAAGACTTTTATTGAATTGTTCATGAGTTTGTTTCAAAGATGGTAGTAACATTGAATTGGTAGGTGATTTAGTTGAATTTCTTGTACGACTTAAGCTACGACTGAAACATTTAGTTGTTAGATTCATTTCATTTAATGGTCGAAAACGTTCAAATCCAGCTGCTACAAATTCATTAGGACCATCAAGTAAATCTTTCAATGTTTCAATCTAAAATAAAGAAAAAAGAAACTAAGTTTAGGATATTTAATTATTATTGAACTGAAAACGCTTAGCGTTCTGGATACCGATGTGATTCATAATTCAAAATACTAACAAACATAACGACAGAATATATGAATTTAGTTGGTAAAAAAAAAGCTGTTTTACCAACTAAGACTGTTCAGAATTCTTTCTTGTATATCAATAACGAAGGAATAATAGGTCTTACTTACTAACCTATACCTGTTACTCTTCGTAGAGGAGCATACGCCACCCACCAGCACTCTCCATCCAAACCTGTCCTGGACAATCCTTTCCAGCTTTTTCCAGTTCTTATTCATCCTTTTCATATCTGATTCCATTTCCCGACGTAATGAGTTCTTTGGCCCTCCGCTTTTCCGCTTCTCTTTAGGATTCCAAGTTTGAGGTTGTCTCGTTATGCATTTTGATGATTTACGTAATGTATGTCCTATCTATTTCCATAATCTTTTCTTAATTTCCTCTTTAGCTGGGATCTGGTTTGTTTTCCCCCACAGAAAGCTGTTACTGATGGTATCTGGCCAATGGATGTTGAGTATCTTGAGTAGACAACTATTTATAAATACTTGTACCTTCTTGATGATGGTTGTAGTAGTTCTTCAAGTTTCAACTCCGTTCAGTAGAACTGTCTTAATGTTTGTATTAAAGATTGTGACTTTGATATTTGATTGACATACAGTTGTTCTAAATTTCATATGTTCTTCTATTGTAGGAATTCAACCCCTAGTTTATCAATCTTCGCCTTTACATCCTCTTTGTTCATTAATGATACATTCATAATAGGCCTTACAAACAATAATAATAATAATAAATATATGTCTAACCATAGACATAAATTTTAATGAATTTATCTTTCCCTATTAAATTTATCATGGGCTAGAATCATCATCAAACACGATTAATAACCAGTCAGTTGAACTGATATTACCAATCAAAATTCCTGATCTGAATGGCCTTTCAGTGAATACAGAAAAACGGTTACTTTACACTATTTGTATGGATATACCTAATGAGGAAATTTCTTTTTATTACCTGAATTTTTATCCCTTAATTACTTTAATACATAAATAACAGTTTTACATTTAATCAACTGATTGGTAGCTCTATCTTAATGAGTGAATAATTAATTCTGTTTTCTTTTTTGAAGGTGTACAAGTTATTTGCTTCCATTTATTTCTATGAATATTTGTTAGAAGTAACATTAACCAAGTAAAATTTAATTATCAGTATAGGATTGTGGAGATTATTCGGTTTTTGATTGACATCATGAACTGATTGATGTTAGACCATTATTGAAAACCTGGAAGCACTGAATGGCTGTTTTATCATGTTGTGGAACTCTTTAAAAATGCGCATTCACGATTCCGCTCGCAGGATTCGAACCTAAGGCCTTCGGTCATGTGCGCGAATGCGTAACCTCTAAACCATTTAGTCCTCATCCAACGGTGTTAATGTCTAACCTCAACCAATCCATAAAATCGCGCAACCATCTTCCATTGTACTGAGGTCGATACCTGTCTCTACCCGAGATGGATTAGCCCCACTAATCACGGTTTCTCACTAGAATTCCAAGAATTCCTCCACAAAGCTAGTCACTAGTGAATACATGGTAATTATCAGTATGGGGTTGTGGAGATAATCTCCGTTGGATGCTGACTCAGTGGTCTAGAAGTTAAGCATTTGAGACTGAAAGCCTTGGGTTTGAGTCCCGCGAGCGGGATCGTGGATGTGCACTGCTCAGGAGTCCCACAATAGGACGAAACGGCCTTCCTGTACTTCCAGGTTTTCAATAGTGGTCTGACACTAATCAGTTTATGATCTCAATGAAATAAAATCGAATTGTTATTCTGTTGATATTTCGTTTAAAGTCAACAAATGCTTTTCCAATTATTCTGCAAGAAACATAATGAAAATAGTGAGTTACTTTTAGATATATGAGATTTCTATTCAAGATGAATATCTACATTGTTTAAATAGAATTCATGACTTATGGAAAAATTCATGTAGAGAGGGATCTTAGTGTGAGATGATAATATTGGATATTATATTAGTTGAGGAGAGATAAATGGTTGCTATCACAGTGACCATTAGACTTACAGGTTCCGGATTAGGGAACATGTAAACTTGAAGTAGCCACTGATACACATAAAAAGGTATCAGGTAAGATAGAAAATCGATGGTATACAATTTTTTTACTGCAATTAGAAATCTGCTGTCGATTTCAAAACAATTGTTTTGTCATTCGTGTGAAGGTTTATGGAGATTTGTTCAATGTTAGTGATAAATCAAGTTCAACAGTTGATGGTTTGAGAAAAGTACTCAAAGTGATTCAAGTTAGACATCGACACCACCGGATGCCAGCTCAGTTGTCTAGAGGTTAAACACTTGTATGTGAAATTGAATGTTGTAGCTTCTGACCTTGGTGGAGTCATGGATACACTGTTGAGGATTCTCATGGCTGTCCAGTGCTTCCGGATTTACTAATTTTGCGAGTTTCTCCCTATCTTTGTATCTGTATATAAATGGATGTATAATTTTAACCCATGTTGCTTTGAGTAAAAGCTTAAAAGTTGACGAACAAAAACTAATTCGATTAATCCAATCCGTGTCGGGTGTGAGAAATTTATCCACCTCAAACAATCGATGAAGGGTTACGCACTATCATGGATTAATTCAAGTTGAACATTAACACCGTTGGATATGAGCTTAGTTGTCTATGGGTTGAGCGTCCGCACAGGTGACTGGAAGTCCTGGGTTCGAATTCCACGTGTGGGATCGCAGATGCGCAATGCTGAGTCTCATACTAGATTGAAACAGCCATCCAATGCTTCCAGGTTTTCAATGGTGGTCTAACATTGATTAATAAAGTAATACTTTAATTAGCTAGAATCCAAAATCTAATGTTACATTGGAGTATTGGTTTAGTATCATATAAGCTGTTTTTTAAATTGGCCTGTGTCGAAGCATAATAGTCAACCTCCACAGAAAACAGATTCATTTTACAGTTGGTGTGTTTTTCAAGCCATGACCAATATTTATAGAAATCAAACAGGACTATAGTGATAATTATAACATGGATATTATGGCTTGAATGTATGTAAAATCTGGGTTTTATTTTCCCATTAGAACGCTTTGTAATCACTTGAAAAAAATGGATTATCCAAATGTCAGGACAAAACAAAATGCATTTTAAATTGCTGGTTGATTGATAGAATATTGTTTAATAATAAAATTTATATTGCTAGTTTAGTAAATAATTTCAAAATAATATTCTAGTGAATCTGTAATAGTTTAACTTCGAGATCATTCTTTATGTTTCATTTATCAATCACCTTAGCAACCGTTACCATGTAAATCGTAATGGTATGAGAGTTCGGAAAGTAATAAGAAACGGTGACTACAGTTTATTAGCGAATAGTACAGATAACAAAAACACAAGTATATTGAACGAATTTGAAGCAAAGAGTTTAATACGTGTGTGACCGAGCGAATACAGAAGTGAATTTATTGTCAAATAGAATCAAGGTGCAGCTAGGTAAAGCATAGTCTATTAATAGGCACATAATATACATGGGAAAGAGAATGATTCATCGTGAGATATTTAAGCGATTTACATTTAAGCTGAAAAGAGATATGTACGTAGGCTGTTACATGTGATCACGTTTACACGTTTATACAAACATGATAGTAACCATAATAATACAAAAGATAGATGGATTGTTACTGTGCTAATTGCATTGTCGGTTAAATAAGTAAATAAAATAGTTTGACAAAAATGAACCATAATCAAAATTGATTGTAGAAGAGTTATTATAATGCCCTTATTGATCTAAATAATGATTTACTAATGATAACTGCCTATGTATACAATCGAAATCATGTCATTTAACTGAACCCTGAAATTTAGCCTTTTTTTTAGTTTAAAAGATTTGAATAATTTTTTTGGTTAGCATTTTTTTTAGCGAGTTAGTTTTCTACGGGATGGGGTCACTAACCTCATGCCCAATCCTCCTCATTTATCCAGGTTTGGAACAGGCAGTAGCTCCCGGAGGGACTCCAGGCGGAGTATCTGAAATTTGCCCCACGGATATTGTAATCTTTGAACTAATCACCAAATGGATAGATTAAAAAATAACAAACGAACTATTTCAATCATTCTATATTTATCTAATTCATATGATCGTTGATCTTTTGAGTTTCTTCAACCATTAATGCACAATCGATTAACTCTTCTTATTCAATAACATAATATCTATGCCTCACTAACTGATTATAGATGAAGTAGTTCATTATTTTCGGGCGTAGTTTTCATTCTCAAAAGATCAGGTCAAGCATATATATGAAAATATATTTGTATCAAGGATATTTAGGGAATAATATTAAGTATATATGTTTAATAATTTATTCATTAAGTATCCACCCATAAAATGTCCCCTCCCCCGCCAAAAAGTTAAAATCGATTAAGTATAAGCATTTATTCGAACACTTGATAAATTGTCTTGATGTAGCTGAATAGATCTTTAAAATGTCGATGTATATATTCCTATTTTTCTACTGAAGTAATTCTTTGACCTAAACAAAACTTTGAATAGTTAATTACTTGTAATAAAATAAAAGCATTTTAAGTGTATATAGATTTGACTAATTATTAAAAAAAAATTGCAAAATGATTTCTCAATAGTTGAAATCATGAATCAATTGAAGTCAGAACACTATGGAAAACCTGGAAGCATTAAACGGCCGTTTCGTCTGAGTACAGGACTCCTTAGCAGTGTGTATCCAGGATCCCCTTCTGAAAATGAAGTCTTTCTAATCAGAAAATTTCAAACTTTAAAAGTACTTATCTGGTGTATGTGCTAATTATATCGACATAAGTAGTATATAACGTTAGTCAGGAATAGAATATCTGATGACAGAAGATTGAGAAAATCGAAAAGGAAATAAGGAGAACAAAAAGCAATTGGTATGGAAATGTAGGAATATTGAAGTCTGAGATGACTGATTGATATTTACAAAAGAAACAATCAAGTTTGAGATGGTTGATTGGCATTTCTCAAATGAAATATTTACTGTATGGTTCTCAGATTTTACTAAGATGTTCTATAATTTTGCGTTCACATACATTCGATTGTCCCCACTTCTGTTTTCGTTCCCTGTACTTACTCATTATATTATTTTGATTATCATATTCTATAGTATATGAAGTGAAATATAAATGAGATATATTCCAAAGATCCTTTTACTTCTGATATAACTATTTATACTGTTTTCTATGGAGAGGAGAAACTCAAATTGTAATGCAATTTTATATTGAAATTAGAATTATTTAAATATTCAGATATTCATTTCAAATAACATTTGAATATTATCTAGATTATGGTTAACAATGTAAACCAAGGTGATTGTTTCGATAATTAAATAGATCAACATTCTATAGATGAGCTTCACATTATCTCTCAAGCTTTGTATAAATGGTTTGTTAAATACATATCCTGTTATCTAATAGGTGACTTGTATCTTTTAATATTTTAATGACCCTATATCTGATTCTATTTGGATCGTATGAATGTTATTGAAATATACATGTCGACTATCCTCGTATACAATTATCGACGTGTATAGCGTTGGTGAATAATGGAATTGAATAAGTCGGATATGAGAATGGATTTTTGAATATATATATTTTGTACACTCACTGAGCAGAACAGACAATCAGGAGAACAATGCAAAGAGAAAAGATTGAAGTGAAATGACGTGTAGTAGAGATGGTGGACGAGACAACTCCATTTAATCAACCATTATTCCATATTTTTAGTCACACAAAAGTAAGCTACAGATATGTGATGAATAGTATAAGAAGTGTTCGCACACATATACGCTCATATGAAGACAGTGAAGGTTGATAATTGAATAATTAACAAGTTCAAAACGTGACTCAAATAGAATAGATAAATTGACCAGTGCTTCCAGGTTTTCTACGCTGATCTAGTTACAATTGATTCATGATCTCAACTATTGAAATGGTTAATAATTAGTTACCATGATAAATGATTTCTAATTTATAAAATGACTTAATAATCAATTTGTTAACCTATGGCAAAAACTTCACTTTTTAAAGATCCTAAATAAATTACTTATTTCATTATTAATTAACATCTAAATGTTTACATTTAATCAACTACCTAAGTATCTAATTCAAGCCATGTAATATTTAATTAATTGATATTGATGGTTATTCACTTGTTATTGTTTGCTTGTTTAGGACTATAATTGATCATTCTCTTATGTGCATCACATGAGGATTGCCTCGATATTAAAACTCAGTAGCTAAGTGGATAATAAAAGTGCATTAAGCTACCATTTTATATTAACTCATTACATTGGAACAAGTTTTTTTTAATGTTAATGTCATGATATAATCTGTAATTAGTCAGTCAATTAACTACACTGTAGGACCAAGCACATATATATTCATTGGTCCAAGTTGTCACACTTCATTAGCACAATATGATGAACATCAAATTCATAGAAGTAGTTACTTCAACGGTAGTAATATATAAAACAAAGATTGTGTATAAGAATATAATACAGGAAGAAAGAATTAAATCGTAGAATCAAAGGTATAAAGTGATTTCATAGTTTATGGAAAGACAGAGAGTGTATACACCGATGCTATTGTGATCGATTCTAAGCCATGTCACTCAGAGTATTCAATCATTGGTTACGATAGTTATGCGGATCATAATCAAGTAGTCTGTAATTATTATTATTATTATTATTATTATTATTATTATTATTATTATTAGTGACTTTATTTAATATTATCTTCCCTATTTCTTATTTCTTGTTCGATCCTAACAATAAATAGCTTCAATTGATACATGATTTCAACTACTGAAATTACCAATTCTCCACAAAAACCCATTCTAGTAATAATCATCTGCTCACTAGTGACTGACTTCAAGAGATACTCCTGGAGTTCTAGTGAGAAGCCGTGACCAGTGGAGTTCAACCAGGTCTGTTGTGAGATATCAGCTCACTGAAGACAATGGTGACAGTGGCGCAACTTCGTGGATTTGTTGAAGCTAAACATTAACACCGTTGGGTCACGGCTCAGT